ACATACAAACGGCTTAAATAGTATACATATAATTTTCAACATCCTAACATAAAATCATAGCAACTTCGATTCGTTCATCTTTGTATGTATTAACAGCAATTATTGATATTCGTGAGTAAATACAACACATGTCTAAACTATTAAACATAGAAATGAAATGTATGTACATACATGTATTGTAAGTATCAGTATTGTATGTAACTAATAATAATATTAAACGACTAGAAGAAAATCCATGTTTCTCAATAATTTTACATGTAATTTCTCTCTATCTTATTTTCATTCTGCCTTGTTTTTGTTTTTCTCCTGATTTTCTCTTGCTTTCTCTCTCTCTCTCTCTCTCTCTCTCTCTCTCTCTTTCTTTTTTCTTTCTCTCTCTTTCCTTTTATCAAATTAATGTAAACCAAAGTTGATAAGAAATTCATCTCCTCATTCAGTGTTGTGTCGAAATACATACAACTAGATGCAGCCTACATAATTCATCATTTCCATATGGAAATTTCATTGGTAGAAAGTTCTCCGAATATTATTAATTAATTGATTGATTGATTAATTAATTAATTCTATTTTCACGAATTTGCATTTTATATACAAACAGAATTCTGTCTTGTTTTTCTCTCCCTCTCTCTCTTTATCTATCTATCTGTCTGTCTGTGTGTGTGTATGCCTGTCTATCTGCGTAATTATATTTTTTATTCCTTTAACACACACACACTTTCTTTCTATCTCTTTCTCTCTCTCTCTCTCTCTTTCTCTCTAACTCTTTCTCTCTTTCTCTCTAACTCTTTCTCTCTCTCTTTCTCTCTCTAGCAATCTCATTTCAATTGGACACATTAAACTCTGGTGTGACGAATGTTATGATGTTAAGTAGACTCATATAATTAACTATAATCAGTAGAAAGTAAGAGAGAGAGAGAGAGAGAGAGAGAAAAAATTAGAGAGAAAGAGAAAAAGAGAGAGACCAAGTGTACTTACATGATATAACTTTTCCGTTTGGCAATTAGGCGGTAAAGAAGATCCTTTTTATGATAAAAATTTCTTTTGGACTGAATCAAATAGGTTTTTGTCTTGCACTCAAACAGTAATAACAACAATAATAGTAATAATAATAATAGTAATTATATAATAATAATAACATTTAAAGAAATAATAACAATGATAGTGATGCTTACCATGAAATTATTAATAAATCATTTTTTATTGATGAAATAAAAAGTTACAGGACGGACATGCGCAAAAAAGAAGATAATGGAAAAAACCAGAAAAAAGGCGACGAAAGAGAGAGAGAGAGAGAGAGAGAAACAAGAAAGAAAAAAAGAGAGAAACAGACAGACACACAGACACAGACATAAATAGAAAAACAGGCAGACAGACATAGATATAATAACAACGAAACAAATTTTTTAGAATTTAAAAATAATTCTCCATTCAAATGCAGCTGATTCTTTTATTCATGTCAGTGTTCGTTAATTTTTATTTTTATTCTCCGAACGTCATCTAGTCTGGTTTTGTGTGTGTGTGTGTCTGTGCGTGTGCGTCTGTGCGTGTGTCTCTATTAACATTTTATATTGCTTACTGAGTATAACCAAGATTCTCCTTTGAATTCAGTTGTTGAAATGTAAATTCAGTTGTTGAAACTTAGTGAATTTCTCGTTCTGTGATTGTTATTGCTGCTATTGTTGCTGTTACTATTATTATTATTATTATCATTATTATTATTATTATTATTATTATTTGTACTATTGTTTAAATTATTTTCAATGCCATTGTTCACCAGGCTTGCTTTCGTTTGAAATTAAAACATCGTACCTACAGGCGAACGGAGACCAACGATGATAAATAATTATCATCACAGGGGATAAGAATAAAAATTACAGTCACGCAATGATAACAACAACAACAACAACAATAATAATAATAATAATAATATTATAATGATAATAATAATAATGGCATAATTATTATTGTTCATATTATGGTAGTCATTAAAATATAGCCTGATGAGGCGGTGTGTATTCAGTTGGGTAATGCGGTAATCAATGCTTAATACGCTCACGCACACACAGACACGCACATACACAAACAAACATATGAACATACAAACAAAAGTACATAAATATATACACGAAATAGTGATGACAATGGCGCAGATGATTTTAGTTGGAATGTAAAGGTACTTATTGATAACGATGATGATGATAATGGTGATGATGATGATGACGACGATGATGATGATGATGATGATGACGACGATGATGATGATGATGATGACGACGACGAGTGGGATAACGATGATTAGCGTTGATCAAGAAAACAAATGAAAATAACTTGTTGGAAGCATACTGAAACATCAATGAAAGAAGTGGAGCGTGAATGACTGATGGAATATACGAATGAATGAATACGGGAGTGAATGAATGAATAAATGAATAAGGGAGTGAATGAATGAATAAATGAATAAGTGAATGAATAAATGAATGAATGAATTGGTGAAATAATGACTAAATTAATGAAACGATGCACAAACGAGTTGACGGATTCGTAATATAATATAATGAATGGAGGTATGGATAAATGCATGAATGCATTGAAGCATGATTAAATAAATGAGTAAATGAAATGAATAAATGAATGATTGAAAGAATAAATGAATGAACGAGTGAATCAAATAAACAAATGAAAAATTAATGATTCTTTTGCGTGTAAAGGAACTCAATGATAAAATTTCTTTATTTTCGTCAGATGACAGATTCGTTACTTAATTACTTAGCAATAAACCCAAGCTTTAGAAGCTAATTACTCTTCTTATTATCAGTAATAGTAGTATCAGTAGTAGTAGTATCAGTAGTAGTAGTATCAGTAGTAGTAGTATCAGTAGTAGTAGAAGTAATAGTAGTAGTCGTAGTAGTAGTAGCAGTAGTAGTAGCACACATAAAAATCATAGTTTTATTCTTGTGCTAGAGTTATAAGGAAAAATTTTATTTATTACTCCTAAGAATTTACGAGTAGAAATCGGAAACTGAAAATGTTTAAAATACATAAGGTTCCCTGAAGTAACTTCTGCAATTTGATATCTTGTGTGCGTGTCTGTATGTGTGTGTCTGTGTGTGTGTGTGTGTGTGTATGTGTGTGTGTATGTGTGCGTGTGTGTATGTGTGCGTGTGTGTGTGTGTGTATGTGTGCGCGTGGGGCGTGTTAGTGTAAGTGATATTGCTTTTTTATTACCTTTAGAACCGATGGTGTTTTATAGTAGTTAACTATGATATTGTTGTTCAACGTTAATGTTTTGTTGTTGTTGTTATTGTTGTTGTTGTTGTTGTTGCTGTTGTTGTTGTTGCCGTTGTTGTTGTTGCAATGAAGCGATGATAGCGAAGATGATGATGAAGATGATTATTACAAAGATATAGATGATGGTGATGAAAATGATGATGACGACGACGAAAATTAGAGTGAGGATGAAGATATAGGTGAGGATGAAAAAGATGATGATGAAGATAAATATGATAATGATGAAGCGATGACGACGATGAGTATGATGAGAAGGAAGAAGAAGATGCTACAAACATCACAGGCACACTGAGAAGAGCTGATAATCTATATCTCATTGTGGCATTTTGTTCATAACAAGCGATCAATGTTCAAACACATGTATACACATTTTCACACACACACACGCACACACACACACAAACACACACAAATGCATACACACACAGACACAGACAGTTTTTTTACTTTTATCTACAAAACCGACATTTTGTCGCCACAAAATTTGCCAAAAAAATATTTACATGTCATATCCTTAACACATGCATGTGTGTATGCATGTGTGTGTTTGTGTGTTGTGTGAGAGAGAGAGAGAGAAAAAGAAAGAAAGAGAGAAAGAGAGAGAAAAAATGTGTTTGATTGTGTGTGTGCGTACGAGTCCGTATTTTTCTTATTATTACTCAATTTTTTCTCATCATTCAACCGTTACATAAATCACTCAACCAGCAAACTTGTCAATAAATTGTATTGTACGCACACATTCATTGAACCAATCAATCAATCAATCAATCAATCAATCAATCAATCAATCAATCAATCAATCAATCAATCAATCAATCAATCAATCAATCAATCAATCAATCAATCAATCAATCAATCAATCAATCAATCAATCAATCAATCAATCAATCAATCAATCAATCAATCAATCAATCAATCAATCAATCAATCAATCAATCAATCAATCAATCAATCAATCAATCAATCAATCAATCAATCAATCAATCAATCAATCAATCAATCAATCAATCAATCAATCAATCAATCAATCAATCAATCAATCAATCAATCAATCAATCAATCAATCAATCAATCAATCAATCAATCAATCGATCGATCGATCAATCAATCAATCAATCAATCAATCAATCAATCAATCATTCATTCAATCAATCAATCAATCAATCAAAAACATAAATTATTTCCGGTAAAAATTTAGTTACCTAATTTTATTTGTCTTGAAAAACAATGTAAAATTACAAATAACGAAAGTAAAATAAAAATGTTGATGATAGTGTGAAAGAAAAAGAGAGGTAAAGTGGAAGAGAGAGAGAGAGAGAGAGAGAGAGAGAGAGAGAGAGAGAGAGGGAGGGAGTTTCTGGAAATTGGCTTGATGTAAAAAAATAAATTAATGACATAAACACACAAACACACATACACACACACACGCACACTCACACACATATATATACACATATACATTCATTTATACATAAATACATTCATACACATACATACACACACGCATACATACATACATACATACATACATACATACATACATACATACATACATACATACATACATACATACATACATACATACATACATACATACATACATACATATATACATTCATACACGCATGTATACATACATACATACATGCATACAAAAAAACAAACATATATACAAATGGAAAATTAGTGGAAGCAGAAAAATATTTTGAACTGGAGTGGAAAGAAAGTAAATTTTGTTCAGTAGCATATTTAGTTTGAGCATTCGGTTGTCTGTTGGTTAGTTTGTTGGTTTTTGTTTGCTTGTTTGTTTGTTTGTCTGTTGGTTAGTTTCTTAGTTTGTTTGTTCGTTCGTTTAATTGCTTGCTCAATTTAATTACATAATTAATTAATAATAAATGCGAAAACAAATCTGTTGGTTAGTTTGTTGGTTTGTTTGCATTATTTTTTAATTTGGTGAAATGTAATTAAATGACATTTTTTCCTCTGAAGATGAATGAAAATAGAAAAACGCAAAGATGATGCGACGCTAGTCTGACAATGTTGATAGCATCAACATTATAAACGACATCAACAACGACAACAACAACAACAACAACATCAGCAAAATCAACAACATCAACAACAACATCAACATCAGCAACAACATTAACTTAACAACAACATCAACAAAGACACCGACATAACATCAACATGAAAAACCCAACAACAACACAAAACACCGACAAAGATACAAAAGTCCCGGCAGATGCCAAATACACCGACACGAGTCACAACCAAACGTCGGGCCACATCACAGACTGCAGTACAAATACCGTAATACCGAATATTTTTCGATACCATCCATGGTATAGCGCTTTACTTTTCGTCCTGTTAGCCTCATACGTGTTGATGATGGGTACTGTGGTTTATGCGGTCTTGAAAGTCGAAAAGTTACAGAGGGTTGTTGTTGGCGTTTCAGCTGATGTTGACGTACTAAAAGAACAAGCGGATTTTGTTAGTTTTGATTTTTTTTCAGTAATTTTGTGTATTATTATTAGTAGTAATTGCAGCGTTTGTAGTAGCAGCAGTAGCAGCAGCAGCAGTAGTAGTAGTATAATAATAGTAGTAGTAGCAGTAGTAGTAGTAGTATTATTAGTAGTAGCAGTAGTAGTAATAGTAGTCGTAGTGGTAGTAGTAGTAGTAATAGTGGTAATAGAAGTAGTGGTGGTGGTAGTAGTAATAGTAGTAGTGGTAGTAGTAATATTAGTAGTAGTAGTAGTAATACAGTAGCTGCAAGAGTAGTAGAAGTTCAATGATTCCATAGCGATTTTATGATTCACTATTGAAAATGATGATGACGACGATTAACAGATAAAAAGGAACAACGATATAGATTCTAATAAACAACATCAACAACAACAACAACATCAACAACAACAACATTCAACGCTAGTCACAACAACACACTACAGACATATAAGAGAACTAATAAACCCACAACAACAACAACAATTACATCAAGAACAACAACAATTACATCAAGAACAACAACATCATCCTCTACAACAACATCATAAAACATCGACGTCATCTTGCATATGTTCACCAGGTTTGATTTGATTTTTCTTAATCTTTTACAAATATTTATTTGTATTTGTATTGTATGTGTGTATTTTTGTTGTATGTGTGTGTGCATTTTTGTATGTTTGTGTGCGATTTTACAAAAAAAAACAAACATGTGAAGAATGTATGTATTATATACATACAGTTTAAGAAAAACATTCACATTTTTTTAAGAAAGTATTTAAATTGCCACGTTAATTTGTTTTTTTTAGTTTTGCATTTCTTTGAAAGTATTCAAATTAGCATTTATGTGGCGCAAGTTAATTTGGGTTTTTTGGTTTGTTTTCTTTACCGATGTTTTTATTTTTCAAATTAAGATATTTTTGTGTGTTTAATTGTTTTCATGTTTGTGTGTGTGCGTGTGTGTGTTTGTTTGTGTGTGTGAGTGTGTGCGTGCGTGCCTGTGTGAATAGTTGTGCGGGTTATCTTAAATGTTTATTTTAGATATACTATTATGTATAATGAAAACACTGTTTTTTTTCGAATGTGCTTGTATGTGTGTATTTATGTATCTAGTTTTGTAAGTATGTGTGTGTATATATGTGTGGGTATGTATGTGTGTGTGTGAAAGTGTGCGTGTATGTGTGTGGTGTGTGCAAATACCTTTTGGGATAAACGTTTTAAATGCAAATGTAAATATTTAAACGAATGGTATTTGCCTTGATGTCTACAACGGTATCATCATCATCATTCTGTTTTTGCTATCATCATTACCATCATCGTCGTCGTCGTCGTCATCACATATTCATCATCATCACATCATCATCCATTTTTTGTATATGTGTTATTAAAGTTATTATTGTTACCATTGTATGTTGCGACATTTTAAATTTTATCATTAACGCTTTCGACAAAGAAACAAAAAGTAAAATACAAACAAAACAAAAAAAAAACTAAATTGTAAACGTAATTATGATGTCACTTTGTTGATGAATTTTTCTAGCGCACATTTTGTTTTTTTCAAATTCCTGATCTCTGAGTGCAAAATGTTTGTAATTCATTCCTGAGAGTAAGATTACGTAGATACAACGTACAATGTCACACATGCAGACACACAAACACACAGACACACAGACAAACAGACACAGACATGACAGATGCAATAAATACAAATTAAACAATCTAGTACTTACGTGTTGAAATGTGGATATGTTTATTATGTTTATGCTTCGCGATTCCTATTTATTTTAGGCTTACTTGTTTGTGTTGTGTAGGACGAGTGTTTATGCGTTATATATATATATATATATATATATAAACACAATTTGTGTATATGTGTGCGTGTGTGTATGCTGTGTGTGTGTGTGTGTAACGTTGATACAATTTTCTTTGTAGGCCCACCAGGTTTGAGTGTAAAGGGTGAAAAAGGTGATTCCGGAGAGCAGGTATGTATATAGGGACGTGTTTGTGTGCGTGTGTGTATGTGTGTGTGTATGTGTGTGTGTTTGTATGTTTGTGTATGCGTGGTTTTTGTGGTGTGTGTTTATGTACACTACACAAAATTATTCAATTCTTTCCGTTGTTCCATTGCAGGGCGCCAAAGGATCCAGAGGATATCCCGGATTTCCGGTGACAAAATTCTATCATTATTATTATCAGTAGTAGTAGTAGTAGTAGTAGTAGTAGTAGTAGTAGTAGTAGTTGTTGTAGTAGAAGTAGTAGTAGTAGAATCGGTTGTAAGAGTAGTATTATTTTTTTTGTACCCCTAATAAAGGGTCCTGTCGGGTTTGATGGACGAAAAGGGGAAAAAGTAAGCCCTGATGATGATGATGGTTATGATGATAATGATGTTGATGGTTATGATGATGATGACAATGACGATGACGACGATGATGATGATAAAATCAAGTATGAGATGATTATAAAATCGAGTATGAGATTTGTCATCACTGATATTACATGCCATTCCAACATTACAAAACTTTATATATTGATAAAGTCGTTTTAACACCGTAATAATTCTCATCATCGTCGTCGTCATCATCGTCATCATCATAGCCATCATTTACATCATCAATTGCAGGGAAAGCGTGGATTTAAGGTTAAGTGAAAATCTAGAAAACTTATTATTTATATTATTATTTATATTATTATTCATATTATTATTCATATTTTTTTAAATTTCAATTATTAAGTTGATTAATTCGTTAATAATTTTTTCAATTGAATTGAAAGTATTAATTTATAGGGCGACAAAGGCAATAAGGCAGTTGAATACATATCAGAGGTTAGATCCATTTTACTCTCTCTCTCTCTCTCTCTCTCTCTCTCTCTCTCTCTCTCTCTCTCTCTTTCTATCTATCTCTATATTTCTTTCTCTCTTTTTGTCTCTATCTGTTTTTTTTCTCTTTGTCTATAAAACTGCCTGCATAACTCTTCGTTATTCACATCATAAACAGCTAATTCTTTCAACAAGTTAACAAACGACCCCATACCTTACGTATGTTCTTCTCTTGTCTGTTTATCTCTTTGTATGCTTGTTCATCATTTTGAATGTTTATTTCTTTGTTTGTTCGTATGTTTGTTTGTATGTTCATCTTTTTTTTGTGTGTGTGTGCGTTCTTTCGTTGTTACGAATGCTTACCAGTAAAATCCAGTGAACTTACAATAAATATGTGCTGCTACTTTAAATTTTATTAATGTTATTTATATGTTTGTTTAAATCAGTTAGGTCATGTTTATTTACTAGTTTTTAGTCTGGTCATATCATTTGCAAACCATCAATATAGAGCTATTTTCATACAATCACTCCTTTACTTATTTATTCATTCGTTCGTTCATTTATATACATATATATATATATATATATATATATATATATATATATATTCGTTCGTTCATTTATATACATATATATATATATATATATATATATAATTATATATTACATATATATATATTCTATTTAGAAACACCCAAATATCTTACAGACTTGGGCTTCCAGCTTTCATCATCAATTATAGCACCTCACATACTTAACGCCTATCTGCGAGCTTTTGATGCAATTATTATTTGTTTGTACATACATGATCGCAAGTCACAACACACAAAAAATCATTTGTACAGCGCTATAGCTAGTTAATTAATCTAAAACCGTAAGAAACAAACTGTCCAATGATACATAGGAATTGAAATGTCGTTCGTAACGCGAGTGTTGATTTAAAAGCGTTTTGGGGGTCTATTTTTGGATCCTGCCAGTCACCCGGAACCATGCTGTGTTTAAGGTTTCCGTGCATAAATTATGACGGATCTGTGACGTAAATGTATAAATTATGATGCCTCATGCATAAATTATAATGAGACGGTCATTTTGGAAAGGTAGCTTTGTAAGGAAAATGGACACATTAGCATTCCAAGTACACTAAAACAAATACAAAAAAGTAAGCATACAAATACACATACATTTTCACACATAAACACATACAAAGCCACACAAATTTATACAAACATATACAAATGTTTACTGTTATGATTTACTTACCTATTTGTTTACATGGATGTCTCCAGAACCTATCTTTATGTGTATGTGTGTGTGTGTGTTTGTATACGTGTGTGTTTGTATACGTGTGTGTGTGTGTATGTTTATTATTACTAGTGTTATATAATAATAATTATTATTATAGTTATTATGGTTAACAAAAATATTATTTTTATTATTAAGCTGTTATTTCAAACAGGGCTCTTCTGCCACGCATCAAGTTATAACATTAAAGGTTGGTTGGCAACCCAAATTTTTTTGACGTAATCATAATTTATTATTACTATAATTGTTGATTTTTAGAATTTTAAAATTTTAGATTAAATAGGATTTTATAATTATTTCATTATTAATATTTGGTATTTGGAGTTAGAAAATAAAAGGATGTTCCGTCAATATTATTATTATTATTATTATTATTATTGCTGTTGTGATTATTATTATTTCAATAGCTTATTTTTACTCAATCTAAGATTTGCGCCGTTATAAATCCCGTTCAATCGTCTACCACTATAAAATAAGCACCAGAGATCCCATGTTATTATTATTATTTATTATTATTATAGTTATTATTATTGTTATTATTATTAACATCATCCCCCTTACATTCTACTTTATTCGTTGCTTTCATTCATCCACTTAGACATTTATTCACTGGTTTTTATGTTCATTCACTCATTTTTATATCCATAAAACATCCATTCGTCATCTTTTATGTTCGTGTTTGTATGTGTGTGTGCGTGTGTGTGCGTGTGATTGTTTGATTAGCGAACCAATCAAAAACTATCTGCTAATTATCCGGCCAATCGTGTTACCAAGGCCTAAACAATTAACCAATTAATAACTCTATTGCTATTAACTGCCCAATTACTAATTTGTACTCTAGTATTAGAGTACAAATGACTAAATAAATAACTGGCCAATCAAATGATGTATAGCTTATTATCCGACCAATCAAATGACGGATGATTAACTGACCAATCAAATGACGAATGATTAATCAACTGACCAATCGAATGACGAATGAATAATTAACTGACCAATCAAATGACAGGGCGATCCTGGGACAGCAGGAAAAGATGGCCAACCAGGAAAAAACGGGCAACAGGTAAATAAATTGTTTTTATTATTATCAATTATTATTATATTATTATTATTATCATTATTATTATTATTATTATTATGCAGGGTCCACCAGGTGTCCATGGACCGCCAGTTAGTTACTCATTTTATTTTCATTTCAAATGAAGTTTCCACTCAGTTGGAATAAAATTACAATACCAACATATTCCAAAAAAGGATTGGTCAGAAGGGTAATTTGGCATGGGCCCTCCGAGTTTGAAGGGCCTTTAAAAAAGGCTTCTAAAGTAATAGTACTATAAACCATACGTTATCTGATCTTAACCTCAAAATTATTCTCCCATGCCATGGGCATGAGATTTTGGCAAAAAAATTGGCCAAAATGGCTAATATTTTTCATATATTTGTATAAGTTTCAACGCATGTGATTGTGGTTTATTTGTGGAAATCTAAAATTAGTTAGAGATTTTGTAATTTTTAATTTTCTGGTCAGGGTCCGCCAGGATCCGACGGCAGAGATGGGCCGAAAGGAGAAAAAGGAGATGTGGTGTGTGGGCAGTTTGTGTTTTTTTTTTCTTGAAATATTCTCGCGTTTGCATTCTATAACGCGTGTTTTTTTTCTTAAATGAAATTTATAATATTTATATTTTATCCAATCGGTTTTGTGACTAAAGTGCAATTTTTTAAATGAAACTCTACACGGCCAGTTAGTTTTTAAAAATATAACCATTATAATGTCACAAACATGAATGACACATAAACAAACAAACATACACATTCGCACGCACTAATATACACATACACATGCATACACATTCAAACACACACATGAATCTACACGCGCGCACACACACGCACACTTACAAACTTATATGCACATAGGGAGCACAAGGAATGGACGGAATACCAGGCCATCCTGGAATTCAAGTTCGTTTTAAGATGTGTATTTGCTTGTTTGTGTGTGTGTATGTGTTGTGTGTATTTTTTAGTTTGTTTACGTGAGTATGTGTGCGTTTATGTGTGTATCGGTGCAATTTAGTAGTATTTAAAATATTGTTAGCGATGAAATGTTCTATTGTATTGTGTATTAAAATAATAAAAAATTTGAAATCGAAACCAGGGAATTCCAGGTAAGAAAGGTGAAAGGTCAACAGTTCCTGGACCTCCTGGATCTCCTGTTTGTATTTACACCCACACACACACACACACAACACACACACACACACAGAAACACTCATACACACGCACACACACACGCACAATTAAGTAATGTTAAAAAAAATTTTTTTTTGTTAGGGTGCCAAAGGAGATCCTGGACCTCCCGGGAGGTATGGGATTCCAGGAATGCAGGTTATTTTATCCCGTTTTGGGATTTATGATGTTTGTTTCTGTTTGTTTGTACGTGATTTTGCTTCTTACTTTTGTTGCGTTTTTCAATAAACATTTGGTTTTACTGACTGTAAAGAAGTGTTTTTTGAACTGCTAAATATCTTATATTGCTATGAAATAGTTGTGGATAAATTTAATTTCGCCAAATTGAAAAAAAAGTTATTTATCGAATTCGAGTTTTTAAAAACTTCAAGCTTTCCACCGTCGCAAAAATAACTTGACCAGATACAAACACGTAAATGTAATTATGTCCACCGATTCTGCGTGCGTTCGATCCAAACCAGACTTCCCAACACCCAACCCCTACAACCACAAATTGACAAACAAAACCATTTTTCAGGATATAATGACTAACATCGATTTGAGTCTAAACGGCGATCCGTTACTCCTTAGAGGTCTGAAAGGAGATAAGGGAGATTCCGGATCAAAAGGGGATACGGGTGATCCGGGTTTAGAGGGTCCAGAGGGACTGCCGGGACTTCCCGGAGAACCAGGCAGGACTGGAAAAAGAGTAAGTCGGCCGTAGTATCGGTCGTAGTATCATCAGTCAGTAGTATCATCAGTCAGTAGTGTCATCAGTAGGTAGTTTGATTGATAGTATTTTTGAGTGGTGTGTGATAATGCCATCAGTAGTAACTAACCGTCGTTGGTGCCTCATAAAAGGATGCCAGAAAGACAGTCATGGACATTTGTTATTTTGATCAAAATTAATTTTGAATATTTTACAAATACAAATAATAATTAATATTATATTAATTATTATTATTGTTATTGTTATTATTGTTGTTGTAACAAAATCATCTTCAAAATGATTGATTAGCCATTACAAATAGCATAAGAAATGTAATACTGCTTTGTTTCTTTGCACATTCTCAAATAATAAAACTCACAAATTTTGGTGCACACGTTCACACACGCACACACGCACACGCATACACACACACACACAACACACAAACAGATAAATTTTGACCACCCATGTGCAATTTCATTTTCATCACTTAGTTTAACTTAAATTTTCCTTTGCATACGTACGTGTTGAAAAATTTGAAATCTGCATTGTATATAGTTAATTAATTTTCGTTTCAAGTATATATAATTAATTAATTAACTAATTCATATAATTATTAATAGATTTATTAATATATTTATTAATAGATTAATTAATTGATGGATAGATAGATTGATTAATTAATTAGATTGAAAGAATGTTAACATTGTTATATATAAAAAGCATGTGTTGTGATATTGATGTTTGTGTGTCTACAATTGTTTGAGATCTATCTAATATTATACATCACCAGCCAACAAACGAATGCCTTCCTTTCGATTCTAAACAATTCTTTTTTTTACATACACACACACACACACACACACACACACACACACACACACACACACACATGTATACATGTACATAACTTTTTTCCTTCATTTTTGTTTTTATCATTATTTATTATTTACTTTTTTTGGTTTCTTGTTTACATGTATAGCAAAGAACACATGGCTTAATCTGGCATCTACGTCAATGTAGACTATATATTATGTTTTGGTTATGCTTTTTTTTGTCTTGTCTTCCATACAGCTGTGATTTTGTGTGTTGTTGAAAGTTTCATCGCTTTTGATGAAGTATGAGCGTATTATATTGTTATAACCGACCGCTTGAACTTGTTGGAGTCAGGGTTATTTCTCTCTACGTGTATTCTTGACACCTGAGCAGACTCATTTCAAATAGCTTTATAAGAAAGAAGACAGTGCTGGCAATCACTTGCGTGTATTGCTGTGATCATTCACTCGTTTATTCGATCGTTAAAATCGTTATAATACAACACAATAACTAATCGACGAGGTAAATCACGGGATAAAACTAATCGTCAAGAATTAAGCTTCTCTTGTCAGATGTTTCTTGGCCGCAAATCCTCGGTATCCGCTTCTCGGAAGATTATCGTAATTCACTTGCAGACCACGGGTAAAATTCTTCGAGATAAATTTTTCCTCGGGCGTTATCGCTAATTTGTTTGCAGTACGCACACAAAATATTTCTGCCATATTAGGACTCTTTTTTTTCTGCTTGAAACTTCTTCTTAATTCTCGTTCTTTTTTTCTTCGTGTTTTCTCCCTGTGTGTGTCTCTCTGTCTGCCTCGAATCTTGCTTCTGCGTTGTTTATATAGCTACCAAACGGCATGTAAATGTGTCGTGTCACATGAATTTACAACCATTTTAAATATTTACGCCTTCTAATTAATTTCTAACTATTAGTTCTTATCTCAATCTTACGTCTGTAACAATACAATTAATACGGCTTTTAGGTATAGAATTTGTAAATATATATAAATATATATATAAATATAATGTAATTTTATGTATTTATTATTTATCTTGTTAATATGAAAAAAAGTACATAAGAGCAGAATTGAATTTATATTGGTCCATATAAAATTTATATGGATAAACAAAAAGGTTTTTTCAAGGGAAAAACTTAAAAGCCCATTATATATTTTAGAATATTTCATTTTGCTAGTGAATGAAAATGTTTAAAAGCCATTTAAATTATAATCTTATTTATTTGCAAACCATTTATATCTCAAATGACGTACGTTCAACTTTTAAATTACGTTTCTACCAGATAAACAAAAATAAAAAAATAAAAAGCGCAAACCCATTCGAATGTTTGTGTTCAATGAGCATATTTTGAATAAACGTATCGAAAATCGATTATTTTAGGCCGTAATGAATCAAACGATATTTTCATACAGTTTGTTTTTAATTATTTCCACCAACCTGTCCTCAATAGCCCATGCAGCAATTGACTTGAAAGAATCTTACATAGGATGCTATCGAAACATCAGCTCAACGAAAACAGTTGCATCAGTTGGCTCAGTGGATGAATGTTCACTGAAGTGCACAGATGAAATTAACAATATGATCGCTTTGAAGAGTGGAAAAGAATGCAACTGTATTGGAAGGTTAGATTCGGCAGTGGCTTCATCCCAGTGTGATGTTCTTTGCGCCAATAGAGATGCTTGTGGTGGAAGGGACTCATATTCCGTTTATAAAAGCAAGCCACGAAAGACGCACGATGACTACGCCAGTTTTGAAACACGTCAGACAGATGTCATTTTGATAACGTTACCAAACACTTACACATTTGAAATGTGCGCACATTTCTGTTTTGAGACAAATTATACGTTTTTCCAGAAGATCGACCCGTCGAACAGATGCGGTTGCTTTCAAGAACATGGTACAGGAAGTAGCTACTTCACACAATTAATTTGTGATACCTGCTCAAGTGACAGATCCGAAGTTTGCAGATGTTATCATCAGGGTCATGAGGAAAAAATAGCGATATTCGCAACACGCTTCCAATACGACTTCCAACGAGGAGTATCGACTTATTCTCACTGCAGAAACAGAAACAACGGAAGTTACGAAATAACTGCAAACTGTCCCGATGGATGCGATCCGGGATGGAGAGGTGATTCATGCAGAGAAAGAGATTGCTCATCAGATGGAGGAGATTGTCCCGTTGGAATGGAATGTATTGAGTCCACGGTGAATGGTAATAAGTACGTTGAATGTGTCTGTCCCCCTGGTAAGGTCAGAAACAAATGGTACCAATGTGAGGTTTTCAGGAAAAATTTAGCTTTACATAAACCTCCTTATTACAGTTCAATCTATAAAGAACACGACGACCCCACGATGGGTGCTCATTACAAAATACATTTAACAGACGGCAACTATGACGGCTACCACATATCTCACATACTTGATGCCATGCCAGCCTGGATGGCGGTCGACCTGCTCAATTTATATTGCGTAGGATTCATCAGAGCATACAACAGAATAAATCAAAGGACTGACTTCCTGAAAAGAATGGACAAGTTTGTTGTAAGGTTGAACGAAACGTTCGATGTGAGCAATAGAGAAGACATCAGAGACAAAGTCAACTTGTGCGGGTACGGACCAGAAGAAGCGATACAGGGCGGAAATCCCATGATTGTCTTTTGTGAGAACTTTACTATCTTCACAAGATTTGTTTTCATTCAACCATCTAATGAGAGAATGAAAGATCATCATACAGCACTCGCAGAGTTGGAAGTATTCGAAGCTGGATGCGATCTTTTCAACGGGAGGTGTGGTGTGGAGCCGTGCAGAGAGGAGAAGAAAGAAGATTCAACAATCATCCACTGCAATGAGGAAAATGACAAAAAAGAAAAAAATGGCAGCAAAGAGAAAAATGACAGCAAAGAGAAAAATGACAGCAAAGAGAAAAATGACAGCAAAGAGAAAAATGACAGCAAAGAGAAAAATGACAGCAAAGAGAAAAATGACAGCAAAGAGAAAAATGACGGCAAGCAATTGGTTGACCCTTCACGCACGACCTATACCATATTAGGTTGGTCACTCCTGCCGCTGCTGCTAACACTTCTAACTTGCTGTATAATTTTTATGATAAAGCGAAGGAAAAAGGAAAAAAATGATTCAAGCCAAAGCCCAAAGGACTCCTCTGCTGACACATCGGAACCAGATTCCACACTTTAAAAACATTTGTTGGAAACATTTGTCAAAACATTTAAAATTATTTGCAGCTAAATATATGCTGTTCGTGACTGAGTTGTCAGTTAAACATCAAATTTAAAATATTTTAGTTTTACATTTTTTGAAAACAAAATGATTCATAAACTTCGTAACGTTAAATTTTTATTGAGATATTTAAATTAAAAGTTTCATAACAAACTTGTAAAACCAGAATAAACATATTTTAGCTAATGTTTTCGTTATAAAGAATTTTCCTATAAATGCAGGCTATAACAACCGGTGTCAGAAGCGAGATTCCGAACAGACAAGAAGATGTCAAAGAAAAAAATTACAGAAACAGATTGGGTCACCCGTTCAAGCAGCACTCAACGGACAACAGACGTTATCGAACAAAGATCAAATTCTAGTGGGACGAACAATAGGAATTTGTTTGCATTTGATATGCAACAAATCATACAAATGTTCGCGGAAATGATGGCTTATACCGACCGTCTAACAGAAAAGAATTTCGCGAAATTGAAGGCTTATGAAGACCACTTAGTAGAAAAACAATTAACGAAAATGAGAAAGCATTTCTGTGAAAGGAAAGCTGATGCTGACCGTCGAGAAGAAGAACAATCCACTGAAATGACGGCCAAGACCAATCAGTGGATAGCCGAATCAAGAGAGATGAGAGCCGAATTACGAGCGGCTAACGAAATAACACAATCAACCTTTGATTTTCTCTTTGTTATCGAAGATACAGATGAACGGAGCGCACAAATTGATGGCCTTCAATTAATTTATACTTTATTTCCTCCATCTAATCTCAATAGTGTTCTTCATAATCTATCTCTATGTCTTTCTTCAATTATCGCTTGGTCTGACTCTGTGTCTTAAACTTAATCCTTCTAAGTTTGAATTAATTTATTTTAATAAATCTAAACACTCTATTACAATTCCTCCTATTATCTTACCTGATTCTAAAACTCTTGATGTCTCCCATAAGTTTCGTAGTCTAGGTTTTATCTTTGATTCTACTATGTCTTTCTCTTCTCAGATTAATAGTGTTGCTAGAAGCTCTTACTTTCATCAACGTAGAATAAAACAACTTTTGCCTTTTCTTGATGATCCTACTTTTCTTCTTCTTGTTACTTCGTTAGTCTTGTCTAGGATTGATTATTTTAACTCGCTCTACTATGGTCTTCCTGGCTCTATACTCTATGCTTTAAGTAAAACTTTTAACTCTGCTGCTCGTCTAGTTGCTCGTGTCTCTTTCTTTTTTCATATATCTCCATATCTTATTCTTTTGCACTGGCCACCTATAAAATATAGAATAATTTTTAAAATTTGCACGTTTATGTATAAGTCTCAATTTAAATTATTTCCTAAGTGTTTATCAGATATATTAATTGAACCTAAACGCCCCGGTTTACGATCGTATTTTTGTTCTCGCTTTTTCTTAACTCGTGTTAAACACTCTTTTGCCAAATTTGCTTTTGCTTTTTCTGGTCCTTTTCTCTGGAACTCTCTACCCACTTTTCTGACTACTTCTCCATCACTTGCGAAGTTCAGAGCGGATCTCAAGACCCATCTCTTTTCAAAATTCATTGAGGAGCGCTGTTGAACATCTCGAAAATAGCGCTTTATAAGCTAATTAATTGATTGATTGAATTATGAGTCGAATACCTGCAGAAGATAAGTGGAAAGATTGGAAAGGACCGTGCCAATTAACCACCTGGATCAACGACGTGGTATATCGGATACGAGAACGAGGTGAGCCATGGATCAAAATGAAGATCGTACGTCTGGATCGGCTAACCTCCTTCCCAGAACCAGAAGACCAACGCAGCAAGGAGAATTGACCAAATCGAAGACGATTTTGGTCTCAGTGGAGGGCAATGTTACAGAGGTGAAGCCAAGATAAGAATTAGTAGTTGAAAATTGTGTGAAACGCTTGCAAATTAATTAGAAAGCGTAAATAATTAAAACGGGTATAAAAAAAAAGTCACGTGACACGGCATCGGTAGCTATATAAAGAACGCCAAGAGACACACAAGGGAGACGAGAGAGAGGACCGACAAACAAAAGTTAGAACAGGTAAGAAGAAGACGAAACAACAGTTGAAGTAGAAGTCATAAATGTGATTTATGTAGTTATTTGGATTAATTCATTCTTTCTATTACTGCTGGTATTTGGATTAATTCATTGTTTCTATTACTGCTGGTAAACGTTCAACTTAGTGTGCGTTTAAAGTAGTTGTGTTCAACTATCGGAAATCTTGAACCTACCGATAAACGAACTCTTGATTATCGTTGAAAGCTACAACACGGTGTTAGAGATATAACGAGTATTGAAGCTATAACATCGGCGTTGCTAGTAACGAGGTCGAAGAGGTTACAACACTGGTGAGGAAGTGGGATATTCAAGATGTTACACACTGTTGACAGAGGTAAGTTTTTGATAGCTGGAATCCCACTGTAGTCAAGAATACCAGGACAAGAGAACTCAATGCAACAGTTGTATTCCGTGATTTACCTGTCGACGAGTTATTGTGATGTATTCTAACGATTTTAACGATTGAATAAACGAGTGATTGATCACAGCAATACACGCAAGTGATTGCCAGCACTGTCTTCTTTCTGATAAGGTCATCTGAAATGAGTCTGTTCAGGAGTTAAGATTCCACGTAGAGAGAAATAATCCTGACCCCAACAAGTTCAAGCGGTCGGTTATATCAGTATGTATGAAGTTATGTATGTATGCATGTATGTATGTATGTATGTAGAGATGTGTATGTGTGTGTGTTTGTGAGGGAATGTTTTTATGTATGTATCAATAAATGTTTATTTGTGTATCTATATTTATATTTATGTACCTGTGTATGTATTTCGTATTATAGGCATGCGTTTAACTCCATTTAGTTGATATTTCCACAATCTGATGTGTTGTATTAAGTCAAGATAATCATTTTTTACGGTGTAGAAAAAATTTCTTTAGTTCGAGACACTTTTGAACCGTGCAAATTTTTTCAAATTAGATGTTTTCAAAAGACAACCGATCAGTTTTGATAGCCGAGTTGTACAACAAAATACTAATATAAAAACTAGAATTAAAAACACTGAGAACAAATTTGTCCAGGGGCCGAAAGGGGACAAGGGTTCAAATGCCCATCCTGGCGGGGTCATCGTACCTGACAGTAATGGACTTCCCACTGGATTTATCGAGGGACCGCCCGGTCAGCCCGGTCCACCCGGAATGCCAGGAAGGAAGGTTCTACGAGGAATCCTATTTTAATTTTCATTAAAAATTGATGTGTAACTTTTTCTTCAAGTGCAAAAAATAAGTTGATAAGGCACGTTAGTGCAACTCAACAGTTTGCTAATTTGAAATAAATTGACTATCCCATTTAAAACTTTTTGACTAAAAAAATATTTTTATTCAATCAACAAAGCACCCATTACAAACCTTAAAATTTGAAATCAGGGTGATGTCGGCCCAGCTGGCCTTGTCGGTGAGAAAGGGGACAAGGGTGAAAAAGGAAGAATCGGAAGGAAAGGAAAAGAGGTGTGTTTATCCAAAAATTATCAAAAATTATATATATATATATATATATTATTTTAATTATTTTTTGATCAATCAATCAATACAATTTCTACGTTAATCAGATTTCTAAATCTCTAAAAGTTTAATAAAAAATTAAAAAATACAATTTTTTTTATAGGGAGTCATGGGGCCAAAGGGTGATAGTGGTGCACCTGGTAGAGATGGGCAGAAAGGAGAGATGGGCGATCATGGAATACCAGGTTCAACGGTGAGTATTGTTATTTTTTAAGTAATCGACTTTGATGTCAAATATTTCTGTATCGGTTTTACTAGTCGGATATTTAAATTATAGGGAAAAGATGGAATTCCGGGTTTGAATGGCTTTGATGGTAAAAAAGGTGAAACCGGGCCAATGGGACCCCAAGTAAAAATTTATTATTACATTATTTTAATATGCATTTAAATTTATTATTGTTAATAATAACTTATAACTATGGTATATAATAAATAATTAATAGCTTTGCTTCTGCTATAATAAATAAAACTTTTATTATACCATACCTGTCTAATCGATTTCTTTACAAATTTTTATATAATTTATATTCATGAGTTATCCTTAGTAGTAGTAGTAATCGTGGTAGAGCAGTAGTAGTAGCAGCAGCGCTAGCAACACAACGTATTAACATTATTCAAAAATAATATAGTTATTACAATAAGTATAAAAAATTCTACTTAGGGGTTTCCGGGTAAAAAAGGCGAAGTGGGTGATCCGGGAAATCCGGGTGAAACGGGATTAATGGGACCAAGGGGACCACCAGGAACCCCGGTACGTTTGTATGTGTGTGTGGGCGTATGTATGTTGTTGTGCGTGCGTGTATGTGTGCTGTGTGCGTGCGTGTATGTGTGTTGTACGCGCGCGTGCGTGTGTGTGTGTATTTTTGGTGAACAAGCGTTACTGTTAAGTAGATTAATAAATTATAATTAAATTTTGTTATAGTAGTAATAATAATAATAATAATGATAGTGATAATGATAACTGCTATTATAGTTGTGATCGCAAAATGTACCTTAGGTTTACATCACTTTTTGGTTTTTGCATTCCATACATAAACAAACATACATTCCCACATACACACAAACATACACACACATACATGCACACACACATACATTCATACATACATACACACACATACACACACACATACATTATACATACATACATAAAACCACACACACAAACAAGCAAACATAAATTCACACATACAAACGAACAAGCAAAATACATCCCCATCAAGTTCAATACATACATACATACACACCTACAACCGAAAAAAACATACAAAATTATGCAAACATTTATACACATATATGCATACATGCCAAGCAAAAAATGTGCTTATAAATCAAAAACTAGCAAGCGATTTAATGATTTAATAAAAAAGGTTTATTGCTGAGCTAACAACTCTTTCCAAATGTGATTTTGCACGCGTGTGTTTGTGTGTGTGTGTTTGTTTTTGGGTGTGTTTTCTTGTTTGTTTTTGTGTAATATAATAGAAAAAAGAGTAAAATAAAGAGAGGAAGAGAGAGAGAGAGAAGAAGAGAAAAAGAGTGAGAAAAAGAGAGAAAAAAGGGTTTGTGGAATCCTTTATAACTGTTATGACATTGTATGATGTTTTTGTCATTCATTTATCCAAAATAAGTGGTTACATTGTTTATGCGCGAAACTGTATATGAATATAAATATCAGAGATGGATGGATGGCTCGTGTGTTAGAGGATATGGCTTAGGGTATTTGTTATTGTTATTTTTGTTGTTATTGTTGTCGTTGTTATTGTTGATGTTATTGTTGTTAATAATGTTATTATTGCTGTTATTGTTGGTATTGTTGTTGTTGTTGTTATTGTACTCTGTCATGTCATTGTACTTTTTTTTCAAAAAGTTGTTAATGATTAATTACTCTTATATGAATTTATGCTGTGTTGTTATTGTTGTTGTTATTGTGAACGTTCATGATATGATTTAAACTTCTAATATTAATGATGGTGACTCCGAACTACGAAAGAAAAAAAATTGTTTTAAAATGATGAAGAAGATGAGGATGAATAACAACGATAACGATTCACTCGTTCGTTCATTAACTCATTCATTCATTAACTCGTTCATTCATTCATTCACTCGTTCATTCATTCATTCGTTCATTCATTCATTCAGTCATTTCAATCATTCATTCATTCACTCATTCATTCACTTGAAAGGGTGGTTCCTCGCATATGCAAAGCAATGGGTCAACTAACTACGTACGTGCGAATATTATTACAACAAAAATGTTATTACAACAGTAGTAATAATTTATTTACAATACTACAAGTAAGAGTAATAATAACATAATAATAATAATAATAATAATATAATAATAATAATAATAATAATATAATATAATATTAAATGTTAGATCATTGGACCACCCGGACCGCCTGGAGCATTGGTACGCTGATGATTATTATTATCATTCTCATGTGTTTTTATTCATGAGATAATTATCGTTGAATAATTATTATTAATTATAGTTATTATTTATAAATTTTGTTATTAATTATTATTATTATATTCAAAAATTATTCAATTTTTTCTCTCATCTCCATCTCTCTCTCTCTCTCTCTCTCTCTCTCTCTCTCTCTCTCTCTCTTTCTTTGTCCCTTCTGTTTCCCTGTTTATCTTTTTTCTCTGCTCTCTTTCCCTCTTTTTATCTCTTTCTCTCTCTTAAGTTCTCTACGTTAACTTTTTTAGTGTCTGATAAAGCACGGAACAATTATTGTTTCTTTTCATTAGTGACATTAATTATGCGTGCAATTAATTTATTCATACAAGGGGCACCCAGGAGTTCAAGGCATACCTGGCATTAAGGTGGGTGGGGGTTATCATAAATTTTATTGGCGGTATAGTTTTGAATTTGATTGGCCAGGATTGGGAAACTTAATGGTAGTGATTGAAATTCATAACTCTACTCACAAATTCATTTGACTGTTATGCGATTTGAAGAGATAAATGACAAAAAAGAAATAATTACTCAATCTATTTTTCCAACTTTTGAAACAGGGTGAGCGCGGTTACGTTGGAGAGAAAGGAGAGTCCGTAAGTTTTTAAATATTTTTCAAAAAAATTCTCCAAAATTGATAAATTATTTTCAGATAATATTCACTCTCTAAAATATTTTATAAGAAATAAGAATTCAAAACCATAATTAACAAATATTCTAATTATAACTATTTATAATAATTATAACTAATTATAATTAATGAAATAATTTACCAAAAGGGCGTGAAAGGAGAGCGTGGTGATGATGGCCCGATTGGACTGCCGGTAAAAAAAATTTCTTTCGTCAATTTAAAAAAATTCCTTAATTATTTTTATTTAACAAATCTAATCATTTCTTTAAAATGATAATAATAATATTATTATTATTAGTGTGTTTGTAAGCGCCCTTCAAAAAGATCTCAGAGGCGAAAAAGATTATTGCAGTACATTGCGTAGCGCTTTATTAAAGCCATGCAGTGAATGGAGAGAAAAAGGACATTAGCACGAGCAAGCTGGACAAAAAGATGGTGATTCAACTTTTTACGAAATTGATTAACAGACAACACAGAATCACGAAGGTCCCTAGGCAAACCATTCCAGACAGCAAGACACATTACGGAGAAATTTTTCGACCAAGAGCCAAGTTTGTGTCAGGTACAAACATTAAACCTGAATTGTCAGAGCGCAATGTTTGACTAAGCAGTGGCATTGTTCTAGAAATGACTCTGTCAGTTAAATTTTTAGGGGCAACTCTCTTAATACATTTAAAGACAGTTAAAAATATCTTGAAAATAACTCTCTGATAAACCGGAAGCCAGTGAAGATCAAAATGAATTGGCTCAACATGATCGTATTTAGAACCTACCCTTGCGGAACACCGTATGGCACAGTTTCAACATGTGTCGAGTTAGATCTGAAGAGAATCTGCTGTGTGCGACCAGAAAGGTATGACTCAATCCATTGAAGAACAACACCATATACTCCAAATGAATACTGGTGCTTGCGTAAGAGTAAGGAGTGGTCGACACAATCAAAGGCAGAGCTCGTATCTAAAAGAGCAAGCAAAGACACATTCTGAATATTAATATTTATGTGGTATAAACATATGATATGATATCATATATATGATATCATATCATATGAATAAATTATATTTTCTCTTTGATATTATTATTTTTATGATTAATTATATCTGTTGATATTTATGTTATATTATGAAATTATGTATTCATTATATATTAATTATATATATGTTATACTATAAAATTACCGTGTGAGCATCTGGCTTGTTTGGTTTTTCTGATGGTGATGATGATGATGATAGCGATCAAGCATATCATCATCATCATCAACAGCATTTTCCTCATTTTTACTCGAATTCAATTTGAACTTTTCAATAATAATAGAATAATAATAACAATAATAATTTGATAATAATAATTATTATTATTATTAATTTATAATAATAATTAATGATAATAATAATTTCCTAATATTATTATGATTATATGGGGATTTTTGAGATACTACATCCAACTAATTAGTAACTTCGGAATTCTCCACCTTACTAAATGCACCATAATGATAACAACAATAATAATAATAACATTATTGTTATTATTATTATCAAAAGTTTAGTATTTGCACGTTTTTGGTATTTGAAAAAAAACGCCATAACAAACTTGAACTAGGGTGTGAATGGAATGTCATGTAAAGATGGAAACCCAGGGGCTATTGGCCCTCCTGGTTCATCCGTGAGTTCCTATTGGCTGTCAATTTACAATGGGGCGTGGCTTATTTTTGTTCTTTAATCATTGAGAAAGGCTCGTTTGTTTATTATTACCGTTATTTAACATGCTTTGTTTATTGTTATTGGTCTGTTTGATTCTAAAAATAGAAGTCCGTGTTATAAATAGAAATTTAGAATGTGTATGTTTATAGCATGTACTAACAGCTTATATTTAACTGCTAATGCTGTTTTCTATCTCAGACAATATGTTTATATATTTAGCATGAAGTTTTTTTTGGTTTTTTGGTGTTTGTTGAAAAGTTTCTCGTACGTTCTATTCATATACACCGTAAGACGTGTATGCATTTTTGTACCTACCATACAACTATTGTTATTGCTATTATCATTGTTATTATTATTATTTCTTGCAGGGCCCTCCAGGTAACGCAGGTGAAAAGGGTGAAAGGGGTGATCCAGGTAGATACGGAGACCCCGGACCTGTCGTTAGTGATGATGATGATGTCCTTAGAGATGATGATGATGTCGTTAGTGATGATGATGATGATGACTATGTTGGTTCGTTTACTTTTTATTTATGTTTTTCAACTATTTCAATTTTTAAACCTAACAGGGACATCCTGGGCCAGTGGTGAGAAGTTTTATTATTATTATTATTATTATTATTATTATTATTATTATTATTATTAGTAGTAGTAGTAGTAGTAGTAGTAGTAGTAGTAGGAGTAGTAGTAGCAATATTATATTATTATTATTATATTATTATTATTATTATATTATTATTATTATATTATTATTATTATATTTTATTATTATTATTACATAAATGTAGGGACCGCAAGGGAATAAAGGTCGACAAGGAGAAAAGGTAGTAGTAGTAGTAGTTGTAGTAGTAATAGTAGTAGTAGTAGTAGTAGTAGTAGTAGTAGTAGTAGTAGTAGTAGTAGTAGTAGTCGTAGTAGTAGTAGTAGTAGTAGTAGTAGTAGTAGTAGTAGTAGTAGTAGCAGTGGTCGTAGTAATAGTAGTAGCAGTCGTAGTAGTAGTAGTAGTTGAATAATTGTGGTAACATTGGTAGTAATAACGATCTTAGTTGTAGTAGTATTAGTAGCGGTTGCAGTAGTAGTACTAGTAGTAGTGGTAGTAGTACTAGTAGTAATAGTAGTAGCAGCAGCAGCGATAGTACTACCGCCACAAGTACATTAATTGTTGCGAAACAAATCAGGGACCCAGGGGAAAATCCGGCCGAAAAGGTCCAAAAGGTGAAAAAGGCGACCAGGTGAGTGTCATAATACCATCAAAATTTTTTATTACGGTGTTAGAGTGGTGTAGTGGTTAGAGGCGTCTGCTGCTAAACTGCAGTGGCTGGGTTTGAATGCGAACAGAGCCCGGTCTATTGGAGGAAAACAGCTTATCATGTGCTCACTCACGTGCGCTTATGAACTCGGCATCATCATTAACACCATATTCAGTATCGTCATCATAATCATCATCATAATCAACATCGTCATCAGTATTATCACCATCAATACCACCATATTCATCATCATCATCACAATCATCATCATCATCACCACCGAAGGGCATACCAGGACTGGATGCACCCTGCCCCATCGGGGAGGACGGTCTTCCTGATTGCGGATGGAAGTACATGACTAACGAAATCGAGTGAATGAATGAATGAATGAATGAATGAATGAATGAAGAAATGAAAAGAATGGTTGATAGATCGATTGATTGAGTGATTGATTGATTTCTAGGTGATTTTTCATTAATTATTCGATAAATAATTAAAATAAATTCTGTCTATGATATTTTTATAAACTTTTAAAACGAGCGTATTAATAAAGAAGGCCTTCAATGTTGTTAGTTTATTGACAAATATTTTTATTTTGTTGTCTTCCAATAAATATTCTTCCCAACTTGTGTATTCAATTATATTATTTTTGTATTATTAACATTACTCTATAATTATTTTTATTATTATCTCGTGAACTTGACCTCAATTGACCTAGGCGGCGGACGTGGGTATCTTCTTGGGCAGTTTGACCTTGTTAATAAGCAGGACGCAACTTCCGAGTCGTCCACCCCTTTTCAAGGGCTCTACCATTGTGATGGCCACACGGGGGTAGTCCAGTTTGTTCATGTATATCTTTGATCGAAGGGGTGTGCAAGTTTAAATTTGTGTAATGTTCGAACACTTAACGTGTATAATAATACACATAGTTCGTGGTGTAAGCAATACAAATACACAAGGGTAATACAAATAACAATACAGATATGCTTATTATGGACACAAAATACCAACTCCAGAAGCTCTTGGTATTTGTTCGTGTCCCAAATGTACCAGATTCCTGTTAACGTACACAACATTTGCTGCCTCGTCTTCATCCACGCTGATGTAACGGTACCCTGTAGCTCCGGAATTCTTTATTTCCTTTTTTTTTGTAGGTTGATTTGTTTCCGTTTAAAAGTGTGCGATAAATTTTTGGGTTTTCACTTCGTGACATTTAAAAGTTATTTTTAGATGTCACGTTATAGCTTGAAAGGATGTTTAATGTCTCCGAAAATTAAAAAAAAATGAAGTCGGACCACAAATGTCTTCTGGGCGCCTTCGCTTTTTCCAACGGTCATTATTTCGGGGCCAGCCATGGTGATGTAATCCTTGAGGTGTGTGGCAGGCCCGCAGACTTTCACGATAGTCGTGGGGAATTCTGGAAATGCCTTGGCCACTGCCTGGGCCCCCAGCATGTTCGATCTACACGAGAGGCCCACAAATATTTCTCGGCCTGTGTGTTGTAATTTTCTTTTTTTTTTGTTCAATTATTCATAAGTCAACATACTTACGAATCAAACTATCGATCATTGATTTTTATTCACGTATAAACTTATCAACCATATAAACAACTGATTGGCTAATCAGCTGACCAGCCAACCAACCAGCCAACCAACTGACCAGTCCAGAGAACATCTCCCCCTTCAATTAGGGCTTTCTCAGTATCCACCTCCATAATTTTCAGTCCTAATTCTTTCTTCAAGACTTGTCTCATCACAGACAGCTTAAGGGCAAAAAATTTGAATACGTTATTATAATAATTTACGTTAATTTATACAAATTTATGCGAAAAAATTTACAAAAATCTTAGTCTGATAATCTAAAAGTGACGAATTAAATTAATTTCGTATATTTTTTATGATTCTCTTCTGGGGGAAAATCATAATTGCACCGACAGCCATCATTATTTCAACGCTGTAACAACCGCGAACCCTGTGCGGCGAAACAGAACGAAACAATAAAAATAATAAAATCATAAAAAGATTAAGAATAACAACATGGATAGATGGGAAAATGAATGAAGGAATAATGTAACAGCAAAAAGAATAAAAAGAATAAGAATATCATTACGCATTCGTCAAATAAACCCATTGTTATTGTCCTAATTGAATTTCTGTGTGCGCGAGTACGTGTGTGTTTGTGTGTCTGTTTGTGTGTCTGTTTGTGTGTCATGTGTCTGTTTGTGTGTTTGTGTATGTGTTCGCTTGTTTGTGTATCTGTGTTTGTGCGTGCTTAAAGGTTCAAGTATATCAGTTATTAAGTTTATCAAGTTGTTTCCCCGCTCATTCATTTGTTCACGTATTTGTTAAATGATCAATTGAATCAAACCACATTTTTAATCAACCATCCATTCATCCATCCATTCATTCACTCATTTATCTATCTATCTATCTATCTATCCATGCATTCATTCATCGATCCATTCATTCATTCATGAGTGCATCATCTCCCTGCCATCAATGATAGTTTCTATCATATCCCGTCGTATCTCATATATGGAGCAGTAACCATTATACCGATAGTATGGAATGCCAATTTGTTATTTCAGTCACGTTGTCATTATGTAGCGCAGACTTTATTGTTTTGCACGCTGGTGTGGTTGCACGTAGCCTCATCATTAATGGCGGGCTCGCTGATGTCGGTGGAGATAGGAAATTAGATTTATTTGTTGTGTTATTGTTAAATACCAAACTGCGTTGTTGTTATGTTATGTATGTGTTCGTGTGTGTGTGTTCGTGTGTGTGTGTGCGTGTGTTTCTCTCTGTGTATAATTATGTGTATGTGATTGGATGAATGTGCGTGTGTATGTCTATGAGTATGTACGTATGTGTATTTATTTGTGTTTGTGTGAGTGTTTTTGTTTTTTAAGTTGTGTGCTCACATACTTGTGTGTGTGTGTGTGTTTGTATGTGTGTATGTTTATGTGTGTATATCTTTGTGTGCAAGTGTATATATGTGTGTGTGATAATATTATATTTGTGGTTATAGGGTGCAAATTATTTTGGTGGTGTCGATACGAAAGATGTAGGAATGATGAAGCAGCATCATATTCTGCTCATTATCTCAGAGGAGTTACATTCAATATTATTGATGATGTGCCATTACGAAAATTTAAACAGAAAATATCACACATCCCAACATTTTATTCCATCAAAATAAATACCAGGACCAAATAAATTCTACAAAAATTGCAAAAATAAATGGAAATCGTAATAAAATTTAAATATAAAAAAAGCTTCTCACAAACCTCTCCTTGACGAGAGGGCTTTCCCTTCAAAGTGGGGGGATTACAAATCAGGGCTGTGCCGTTTATTATGACGGCCACGTCGTCGACGAATAGGCAGTCCGGATTTTTCTCGTCTGCCGGCAGCTCGATGACATCCAGGCCAACTCTCCTTAAGCCTTCGTTTGTGTTTGGGACATAATTATCACTATATTATTAAATTTGGTTTTAAAATATTTTTCTATTATTTACTTGTTAAGTTTTGGTTAGTAATAAATGTAAAAAAAACTTTTGAAATAATATGAAAATTAATGATGATAACCTGTTTTGAACATGAATTGAACCTAACATTAACTTTTTTTATCATGCAATCACTACAGTTGAAATAGCGATAAACTATTATTATTTTTTCAAAACCGCAATTAATAAACTAAACTAACCAATTAATTAATCAAATGCAAAAATAATTAATTAATCGACTTTAGAGTATTGATAATAAATTAATCGAACAACTAATCAGCCTACCTTCGACGAGATCTTCATGTTCTTTGCGGGCCTGGTCAATGTTGATCACCCGCCCAGGTTTCAACTCAAATGACGACGACGAAGCAAAAGAGTTCGGGATACGCGAAACTATAGCGAAATTAAATTTGAAACAATCGTTGACTTTTGATCTTTGCATCTCTATAAGTTGTGATAGTTTAGTTAAAGAATAGTTTATTATATTTTTAATAAATGTACTGCAATCCGACAATCTATTTGATTCTATAGCGAAATTAAAATGAAAAAGTGTCTTCGATTCCTGGTGTTATTTGGATAGAATTATCCCTTACAATTAACTTAGTAACTAATTAAATGATTTTAACTGAATAAATATTTTACCAAGAAGAAATCAAAATGACAAAAGGTGTTCAGTTCAATGCATCTCATGCACGAAATATATACTATTATAATTCTATAGATAATTTATAATGTATAAAAATGAAAAGAGCAGTGTACATTAGCAATATAACACTTAATGCTATGTTCTAGAGGAGCAATCCGTGAAGGAATTCCCACCTAACCACCCAGTATCCTAATCTATCATTACATCGTTGTGCTAAGTTTCAATTTCGCAACTAACTAATAACATTGTTGTAGATGTAGTGGCATCCGCAATATGTATATATATATATATATTATATAATATATATATATATATAATATATATTGAATATATATATATATATATAACATAATATAATAATATAGAATATAATATGTCATAATCAGGCTTACAACGTAGTTTTGCCTAAAATAGTATTTTGTGTTAATATATATATATATATATATATGTATATATATATATATGTATATATATATATGTATATGTATATATATATATATATATATATTGAATATATTGCAAAAAAGAAATGTTTATTTTCGTGTCTACAGGTTTGCGAGAATTTTGCCTAGTTGGCAATAAAATTACGAGTTTGCAGAGTCTCACTTTGTAAGATTTTGTTTTTCTAAATTAGAATTTTAAAATTCGTAAATGGATTTTTGGTGTTTTGGTGTATCTGTATAATTGTATATTCTTGCTGATTAAATTTGGTTGGCATTCACAACCAGAACGTAAACGTGTCCCTCACATTTTATTTATGTGTTTATTTTATTTTATTTAATTATTCCTACAAATTCTCAAATGTAAATAAATAAATTAAATTAAGTAAATTAGTTTTTATTTATTTTTATTTTACACTTGGGCTATGCAGTCCAGCACATAACTAACTTCTTAGCTTTTAACTTCTTCAAATTTGCTATTTTAGTTACCAAAATACACCAAAAGTTTGGTTTGATTGAGTCTTATAAAATCTTATTGAAATGGAAGAGCAAGTTCAACAACAGCAGGTTGGCTCCGCCTCAAATGCCACTGCCAGCAACGATAACGTAGTACTTAATAATAACAACTCTGAAAATGCAGGTACTAAAAGAATAAAAATGCTCAAAAATTTGAACTAACTCAATTATTTAATTGCCATTTCAAATCATTATTTTATTTGTAGGAGTAATTTGTTTTTAGTAGTAAATTAAATATTCTTTAAATTTGTTTCACTATTGATAAGTTAAATAAATTGAATAAATAATTTAACTTCTATTAGAAGACAAATAGTGTATTAATTTTGCTAATTGTTTGATTTCATTGGAGAATAAATTTTCTTTCACTAAAAAGAAGAACAAGAGAATACAGAAATCGACATCATAATAAACAATGTTGTTAGTACATTCTACACGAGGTGTCATTTAGACCTCAGAAAAATTGCCACAAATGGCATGAATGTTGTTTATAGGAAAGAAAATGGAGTGGGTATTTTAAATTATTTTTATTTAATTATTTTTTACTAATTAAATTATTTAATTATTTATCAGTGTAAAATTATAAATTATCTATTTTTTTAATTATTATTATAAATATTTATTTATATGAATGTTTCACTGTTTATTTATTATTTTAAAATTTAATTGATCAGTTTAAATGATTATGTTTGTTTGAATTTTGATAAATTTTTATAAATTTTTTAAAAACAATGTTTGACATTCTTGACATCTTTACATTTATATAATAGTTATGTTATATCTAGATTTTTATGTTTTTATCTAGTTTTAATTTTTGTGATTTAATAAATATTAATATTAGAGATGATATTATTATTGTTAAATTCATAAATAAATGAATTGAAGATGGTGTCAATGAAGTTTAGAAAGCCAAGCGTCACAGCTAGCATTTGGTCTTCTGGCAAAGTTACATGTACTGGTTCGACTAGGTAACGTCATTGTGTTTGTGTGTGTGTGTGTGTGTGTGTGTGTGTGTGTGTGTGTGTGTGTGTGTGTGTGTGTGTGTGTGTGGTGATTGATAAATTATTATGATATGTTTAATGGAAATTTGAAATTAAAAGTTAGTTATAATCAGTGTCTCCATTAGGTAGCAAGTAGAAGAGACTATTCCTGGTATATATCTTTTTAAACTATTTATTAGTTTCATAATTTTTATCTCTTCTTAGATATTTCAAATAATTATTTTTATAAAATAATATATTAATTTTTTTGAAATAATTAGTGAGGAGGACTCGAAGGTAGCTGCACGCACGGTGGCTCGAAGATTGTGGAGGTTGGGTTTCGAAGCTGTAAAGTTCTGCAGGTTCAGGATCGTGAATGTCCTTGGCACTTGCAGCTTGCCATTCAAGATTCAGATCACTGAGTTCTCTAGGAACAATCCAAAAATGGCGAGGTAGTTGGTTGTTTTGTTAGTCATGTGTGTTAATGCTTTTTTATGTTTCATTCCTATAAATTTTTCGTTTGGCTTGCTTGATAAGTTTTTTACTATGTCCGTTTCCGCGTTTTTGATATTTGATTTGATATAGTGTTTGGGGTGAATTCAATGATGAATCATGATTCATTGTATGAAATCACTTGCTATAACTTCACCAAACGTTAATTCGCATTACCCATTTTTCAACAGCTATGAACCAGAACTGCATCCCGGTGTTACGTACAAGATCCTCGACCCCAAAGCCACAATCAAAATATTTTCGACTGGCAGTCTAACGGTCACTGCGCCATCCGTCGCAAATGTTCAGGCGGCCATCGAACACATCTACTCAAAAGTTTATGAGTATCGAATTGAAGGCCCAACTGAGATCGCCTCAAACGACGATTACGACAGTGAAGCCTACCAATTATTCCTGCATCACACTAACAACAACACTAATCTGATCACTTATAAAAAGAATAAATCGGGTAAATGTTCGTTGTCGGGACCGCACTCAAAGAAACAAAAATTTATGAGAGGAAGGGTCGACGATGAAGAGAACTGGAGTGACTCTGATGACGATTAATTAATAAACAGAACAATTTTGGAAACTAATTTAATATTAAAAAATGTACAGTTAATAATATTTCAAATGTTTGATATACTCTGAGTTGTTAACGTTCTTTTGTATAATCAGTAATAAATGCTCGTATGTTATAGATGATTATGCCGTGTTCGTTGAGTTGCCATTACAACTGAGTCGAATAAAACGCGATATACGGAAATGTTGAAATATTGTCGATGTGAAACGACTGAACAAGTTCTTTGAATAATACCATACCTGTCTAATCGATTTCTTTACAAATTTTTATATAATTTATATTCATGAGTTATCCTTAGTAGTAGTAGTAATCGTGGTAGAGCAGTAGTAGTAGCAGCAGCGCTAGCAACATAACGTATTAACATTATTCAAAAATAATATAGTTATTACAATAAGTATAAAAAATTCTACTTAGGGGTTTCCGGGTAAAAAAGGCGAAGTGGGTGATCCGGGAAATCCGGGTGAAACGGGATTAATGGGACCAAGGGGACCACCAGGAACCCCGGTACGTTTGTATGAGTGTTTGGGCGTATGTATGTTGTTGTGCGTGCGTGTATGTGTGCTGTGTGCGTGCGTGTATGTGTGTTGTACGCGCGCGTGCGTGTGTGTGTGTGTGTGTGTATTTTTGGTGAACAAGCGTTACTGTTAAGTAGATTAATAAATTATAATTAAATTTTGTTATAGTAGTAATAATAATAATAATAATAATAATGATGATAGTGATAATGATAACTGTTATTATAGTTGTGATCGCAAAATGTACCTTAGGTTTACATCACTTTTTGGTTTTTGCATTCCATACATAAACAAACATACATTCCCACATACACACACATACATGCACACACACATACATTCACACATACACACACACATACATTATACATACATACATAAATGTTATATACGGAAATGTTGAAATATTGTCAATGTGAAACGACTGAACAAGTTTTTTGAATAATTAATTTGTAAAAATTATTACATTAATATTGTTAACGACATAGTTTTGCTTTTACAAACCGTTTACGAAAGTTTTACGAGATTACAAAACAGCCAGTTGTGGCTTTCCATAATTTTTTAAAATTTCAACTCGACTTTGTTATTTAATATTGTTCTATGCTTGTGCGATTTATATAAGGGCGAAAATAAGTGGAAGGTTCAGATCTTGGTTTTCTAAACTGCGTAGGTTATATGAGTAAGCCGTCTCGATTTAGAGTTTTGTTTACTTACTTTTTAGAATCTGCCAGTTATTGTTGAACGAAATAATGGGCGATCGTTACAACATACACAGTCAGTTGGAGCATCTGCAGTCGAGGTACGTCGGAACCGGCCACGCTGATACGAACAAGTGGGAATGGATGACGCATCAACACAGAGATAGTTACGCTTCCTATATTGGCCGTCCCGATCTTTTGAACTTCTTCGCCATTTCCGAGAACGAATCAAAAGCCAGAGTTAAATTTAACTTCCTAGAGAGGATGTTACAACCGTGTGGACCCCCACCTGAAAGACCAGAAGAATAAATAACGTCATTATCGATATCACTGACTAATCGAGGATGATTTAATGATTGAACAAATGTTTCTTATAGTGTAAATAAACTTTCATTTTTTTACAGTTTTCTTTTGTTTGTCAATTGACAATAAAAATGAAATGCATGTGCTTCTGAGAACCTCTTCATATCAATATTTATAATAAATTTAACAAATAATCACATATATTTATCTAACAACATAATGCTATTGTGATTTATATGATAAATGAAGGGGTGCATCAATAAAATAAGGGTGTGTTTTTAATTTTATTAGAACTTAAGTAATTACTGTACAATACTACTTCAATGAACATAATTAAATAAAATGAAACAAATGTTTTAAAAAAAATTAAGGTCACTTGATAACATTTGGAAGACTTTAACGATTTTTACATTATGCTTAATAAACATTCCATTTATAAAGGATTAAAACGTTTTGACTAAAAACAAAAAATACAAAAAGTTAAGGAATTTTAGCATGGATACCCATTATTACACAGAGAAAACATTTTAAAACTTAAGAAAGAAGTGGCAGGTCAACGTTTAATTTTTGGGGCTAAGAGATTTTTCATCATGTCGAAACTGTTTCCATCCGGGTGTACTTCTACTATTGTACCATCTTCCAATCGTACTGACAGGTAACCAAATTTTGTGATGCCATTTATGAGGCCCCGAGGCCCGTCAATGCTATTCAGTGTAACTTCTTGGTCACTGCAAAATATTTTTTGCTTTTGTAATATATATATAATATATTTAAGATATAAATTTATGAAAAATCAAAAAATCCATCTGTATCCAGGATTTGGGCAACTAGAACTTGTTAAACATTAATTTAAAAGAAACATACTTGTGAAGCCAATAGTTGTAATAGAGTTCAAAGAACTCTGCCCCTTCATCTGACTGGTACGTTTGAATCAATCGATCAATTTGAGATATCAGTCGGCCAAGAAACTCTTCGACAGTGAAAGTGGGGAGAGGTTCTGATTGGCCAGCACGCAGTTTGTTGTGTTGTTCTATCAGATCATTGATGCATGTTGTTGGGTACTTATTGCATATATTGATTCCACAACCTGTAAGGAGTAAGAAATAACCTGTTATTTACTGCAGCTATTTATTGTTATTACTTGCCATCAGAATAATTTATTTCATTCAGATGTTTTTTTTGCTTTAAGACTAAATACATTATCTACACTGTATTAGAACGTGCTACGACTTTTTAGTAACAAAACAACGGGAGCCAACCAAGATTGATATGAATGAGGTCCTGCATTATAGTTGATCTGATCAAAATCCCTCCTAATTTCAACTTCTCAGCGAAGTATATATCGTTTGGCCATTTGATCCTTAAGTCAATATCCTACAAATGAGTGAACAGTGTTAGTGTTATCAGATAAATTTAATTTAGGATACAAAAAAGGTTTTGAAAATTCCAAAAAAATGTCAAAAACATTTTTTAATCAATAGAATAGCGGCCTTCTCCAAATAACAGCACAAATTATTTTGACCTAACAATTTATGATGAATGAACTCAATCATAACATAAAGAAATCTTACGGACCAACCATACCAACTAACCTCATAACCTTTCTTTTCTCTGACGGACAGCACGATAGCCAGGGCAACAAGATGCTGCAAACACGACACATGTTGGCCCAAAGGTGAGTTCAGGGGCAGTCTTATGTGCAGGGAACATAAGGCGCATCCCTCAGGGCTCAACCAAACATTTCCTCCCCTGCCTAGAACATTTTTTAACTTTTCTAAATTTTATTCAATTATTTTGTAAAAAGTTAATTTATTAATTAAAAAGCATGCTATTATAAAGAGATGTTTAGTTGGTCAAAATAATTTATTAACATCTGGATTGTGTAAGCATGAATCAAATTAATATCTATTTTAAACTTCAACCTATTTGATCACAGATGTTAAACTATTTAATTAAAACTTAAAAGAAGGAACACGTTTTCAAAACGAGCTTAACAACAATCTCTCAACATAATAATAACGTGTCCATCAAATAAGATAACTATCTGGTGCAAGCAATTTAAAACACTGTAGAATTTAGCAAGCGTATCAAATATTTTTTTATGTACATGTACACATGAGAGTGTTTTTGAAATTGTGGGAAAAAAGATGTCTACCTTGTCCAGATGTCTGCATGGAGGCTATGGTGACCAAACCAAGATGGGAGGGCATGTGAATTAGGTAACTGTTGGTTGGATGGCGAAGTCACAAATTTGTTTTGTCAATAATATCTGAGTATCATAAATGTCAACGTCATCTTGTCAACGTCATTTTGACTAGTATTGCTAATATAACTTTAGCCTACCTCTTACTATTAGTATCAGTTTCATTTCCATCGCAATATCACTACATAATCAAATGTCTAAAGCGTGCTATCATCATTAAAACGATATCCTATCATCATAAATAACATCATCACTTTTGTCATCATCTCCATCACTGTCATCACTACAATCTTCATCATCCATGCAACCTACTGATCTAATGTATCCATAGTGCTAGAGACAACGTCGGCATAAAGTACAACATTACCTAAGACTTCACTTCTCAGATGCTTCTTATAAACATCTAAGTTAAATTTATTTTGTACATTCGACGAGTCGGTTATGAAGTATATATTGTTAGTATTATTAGTAGCAGTAAAAGTAGTAGTAATGTTATTAATGTTGTTGTCATTGCTAGAATTATTAGTATTTGTAGTAGATGTTGTTGCAGAGCTAGAATAATCTTGAGATGTAGTAAAATGATAGGAAAATAGTTTGTTAGCAGCGTAGACATTCCCTTCCTTCATAAGCGGTTTCATTGCAGTACAAAAGTCCGCTTGCTTAGCCTGAAATTTCCAAAAATTTAAATAAAATACCCAAATTTAATGAAGAAAAGATGTAGGAGTGCGTATAATATCTAAATAAATTAGATATTCATTAATTAATACTCATTAATCAGAATAACTTAAATATTAAACATGGAATAAAATTGCTAGCCATTCTTCAAATTAACATAAATGAACATGGATTTAGCATTAAAAATATGTTGAATTTATTTAGGAAACTATTTAAACAGGCTATAAGATAAATTGAATTTATACATATTTATGATTTATATATAATAAATAATTGATGATAAAAATAATTAATTGTAAAGTCGGAACCTCATTGGGAGCAAGCAAGAGAACAGGTGATAGTGCAGGTGGTTCAGTCTGTTCACAGTTCAACCCCAAATCATTTGAAAGAATGTTCTTGAAAATTTCAATTCTCTCTAGGTTTGATTGTTTCAACTGAATGAACTCTTCTGAGCTCGTTGTCAGGTCCGATGCATCCTTTTCAAAGTTTACCTTTTTGATTAAAATATAAATAATAAATCATTATTATTTATACATTTACTTATCTATTTATTCATTTATAAAAAATATTTACATATAAAACTACATTTATACACATGCCACGACATACAATGTTTCAAAACTCACCTTAAATGTTACGTACAAAACTAAACAGGTTAGAAACAAAATGTAAACTTGTCACAGAAAACAACATAAAATTTCTTACCTGCAAACGATCAACATATTAACCTGAGATAGCAGAGCGACACCGGAACTCAGATGATGCCTAGCAAGTACAATTAATTGATTATTAGATTGACTATCTTGAGCCAGTGGAGTACATGAAACTTCATCCAAAATGGATGGTGCTACATCGTCGTAGCCCACATTGCAACCGCTGACAACGCTAACATCATTCCACTTCCCATACTTCAGTCTAACAATATAATTAGTACCACTCATCTCTGCTAAAGATTTAACTCTTCGGACAAAAAATTCATCGAAATTGCACGCTAAACTTATCACGCACCCGCCACCTAAAAAATATCTCAAAAAAACATTTTCATCATCGTTTTTTGGGATTTTATTGACGGCTAAAATTAGCACCATGGTATTTTCTATCCATGGCGTGGTGTTGATTTGATTTCTTTTCAGATGGTATACAACGTATCTATCCCTACTCAAACATTGAGAGAGTATGGAATACGTATTCATGTAGCTTTTAGTTGTATCTTCATTGGAGCCAGTATAAATTAGGATATTAGGTGGCTTGTCGGTAAAATTATTCAAAGGTTTCATCTTAGATTTGCAAATTTCAATTTGATCATCAGACCTGAGAGGAACTGACTTTAATTTGTTACTTGTAGTAAGTGGTTTGTGTAAAGTTTCAATTGCCACGTCGTTGTTATTGTTCATTATTTTGTTTGCAATATTAAACTGATTGATAGTAGGCTGTTGAGTGCAAGTTGTCTCGACTTCTGAATCCAACAACTCGAAGGCTAGAGATTAAAAAATAAAAAATATAGCATTAAGTAAAAATTTTTACTAAAAACCATCACTAACTAAATCAATCAATCAATCAATGGCTATTTTTATAAAATTAATTAGAGTAATAATTCTTCAAAATAAAATAATAAATAAGTACTTGTGATGTTAGATATGAATGTCTCATAGGACACAAGGAAGTCACTGAGTTTGGAGATATCAGAGAACAAGTTAATGAAACTAGCGTCGTCCTCACACTGGCAGATCAGATAATTTTCACCTTTCTTTGCTAGAATTTTCACATATTTATCTAGCTAAAATTAGAGAAAAATATTTTGCATTCTGACAAAGAATTCATCACAAGTAACAATTATGTTGCTGCATATAATAGAAATAAACGAATAGAAAATAATATTATAAATAATGAGAGTGACAATTATGCTAAAGAATGAAACAGAAATAGATACAAACATGTAGGTAGTATATTGTCTTGGGCAGAGTAGTAGTCATGAAATCTAACTTCATTAATAGATGTACAGTGTTCAAATTGGAATTAACAACACCTTCAGAGTTCTTCTCTTCCTTCTTTCCAGGTGTTTTGTGAAATTTAAATTTTTCTTTCTCCAGAAATTTTTTATCTAAAACTAACTGGAATTGAAAAAAAAAGTAAATGATTTAACGATTGTAAATGAAAATGAAATTATTATTTATAAACTACTGCATTATTCATACATTATTACATATAATAAACAATTTATGAAAAAATTATTTAAATTAAATATCAAAAGGAAAATACTTTTATGTGTTATATTTTATGAAAAATTCGAATATAAACAAAATTAACCTTTTCGTTGACTTGATAAAACTGATATTTATTAATTTTAAAAACAGGCTGTGAGTTAGTTAATGCTGGACCTCCCTCAGTTGGACTCTTCCACTTCAGCCAATCAGGCCATAGATGAGATACTGGCAAAGTGTCACAATCATTTATGATGCTATTACCTTTTTCACAATGGTTAACTGGGATAATTCTGTTGACGATGTAACTGGTTTTGTTGATGTTGTGTCTCAGCGATCTAAAAAAATTCATTTTCTTTTTGGTCTTTATGTATTCGAAGATGTATTTCACTAGAATATAACTTAGGAACTCAATGAATATAATCATGATTCTGTGGATATAAAATTACATGTTAAGAACAAATTTAAAAATTACAAACAAAATTTTTGATAAATCCTTAATAAACTAATATTGCAAACTGTTTATTTAAAATCTTAAACATAGAAATGAAATTGAATAAAGGAACTAATATTAATCAATGGCATATTAAAACGACAAGCCGCGTATTATAATACAGTGTATGGATAAGAATAGGAATACCAAATGCAAATACACATGAATTATTGTATATTCTGTTATATTATATAACATATAATATATATATCACATGGAATGGATGAATGCCTTTAGGTTTAGCTTAGCTTTATTTATGTCTTAGTTTTTTTTATTTATAAAATATTATATATATATATAATTATATATAATAATTAATATAGAAATTAATACACAAGTCATTCAGTTAATTAACTGAGTGTTGAGTTAAGTATTAGAATTAAATTTTAATATAAAATACATAATTTACGTATTTAATATTTAAATTTATAAATAAATCAAACAATTTCGTCTACTTATAATTTATTTACCAACCACCCTGCCTTTTGTTTGGTTTTGTTTTACTTACAGAATTTCATTTTGGTTTTTCTTTTTTGCATAATTTTATTTATTTGGTTTATTGTTTATATTTATAATTTTATTTATATTATAATTATACAATATACGAGAAATAAAAATGAAACACACTTTTTCCGACAGCCAAGTTCTGTAAATGAACATCTTCATTGCGAGAACTCATTATTAATTATATTTAGCTAGTATTTTCTAATTAGCAATTAATTAGGCAGTAGTTTAATTAGGCATGTTGTTTGATCTAAATTTACGACAATTCCGAACGTTCACTTTTAAAGAGTAAATGTGGAATGCCAAAATTATTTTATCAATTATTATAACGTCATAAATACAAACAAGCCTACATACGCTCACAGGTACATACACAAGCAGGCAAACATACACACACACACATAGACGAAAGACTTTCATTCGTTCCTTTCTTTATTTGTTCATAATAAACTACAACCTTAAAACCTTTGATAATGACATTGACCTGATGTATAACGTATAAACATAAGGTTACCTCAAAATGTACTCAGCTGTGAAGAGATTGAACACGAAAGAAAAAGAAAGAGAGAAATTGTATAAAAAAGAAAGAAATTGAAAGATGGAGATGATGAGAGAGATAGTGAAAGAGTGTCAGAGGAGAGAGATAAAAAAAAGATTTACAGAAAGATGAGAAAGAGAGAGAGAAATAGAAAATAGAGAAATAATATACCTGCTATTTAAATTTGTTCTGTTGTTGTCTTGATAATTGATGACGAACTGTAGATAAAAAGAGTGCTTGTCTTTTAAGAGATTCAACAGAAAATAGCGTTCTACTAATAAACACTGCATCATCATGGATCAAGGATTTAGGACTTATAGATACACCAGGACTTAAAGATAAACATGCCCAAATAAATAGTTTTATACAGCTTTAACAATGAAGATATTCAAAAATGATTAAAAGATGAATAAGCATCAATGAAAGTGATCTGGTATGATCGTGCAATTGTAGTAAGCAATGAAATTTAGATTGGAATTGCCCTATCGTATTCTTCCCATAACATGTTTTATTGGAATCATAAGCAGGCAATAGTTATATTTCATAACGGGAAGCTTCCTATGATATGTTGATTTGCAGATGATTGTGTAATGACGCAAATAATTCTCAATCGACGTCATGTTGAGGTATTTCATTTCATCATTTCGTCATTTCAAATTTCGTAGAGAATAAATCCTAGTATGTTAGTTGGATTATTCCTCTTCGCTCTGTCTATTTAGTTTTATAAGAGAAACTTCTAATCCAAACAAATCCATCTTCTAGTAAACTTATGGCGCGCTATCGTGTTTTTATTTAAACGACAATACCTAGAAAACATACACACGCACGCACGCGCACACACACACACACGCACGCATATATATATATATATATATATATATAAACATATATATATATATACATATATATATATAAACATATATATAAACATATATATATATAAATGATGTTTTAAAAAATGCCAAACCGAGGTTTGAAAATGTAAGGTTGAATTTCGTAGTTCAAGATTTGCACTAGTTCGACAAACTAAGCCTAATATCACCAAGCCAAGACGCGTATCTTAAAATAAGGATTTCAATTTATCAGCTCTCATATCAGGTAAGTCTCTTCGAAGGCATTCTCTGGTGATAACGAAGTGATGATAAAGGTTTTTACTACTGATAACTTGTAATTGTAAGTAGGTATAGCTATATCTTCTTAGTATAGCTAAGAAGTTTTATTCACACGTATGGATGTAAATTTATACACCTGTGTGTATTTACAAGGATGAGATTGTCTTTTAAGATTTTATTTTATTTGTGATTTTTACCAGCAAAATATATTTGATTCATTCCGTAATAAATGATATCTGGCCCGATATAAAATGAAACTGGAATTGTTTATAGTTATTCTATCGATAGCAGGTAAGATTTTTTTATTTGTTATTAACTAATGATTAATAAATTAATCAGTTATAATTAAAATAAATTATTTGAAAATGCTTATCTCTAAACAGTGGCTTCAGTTACAGTTGCCAAGCGTAGAAACCAACTAGCGGCAACCACCAAGCCACCCACCAAACCAGCCACCCCCAAACCAACCATCACCAATACACCAACCACCACCAAACCAACCACCACCAAACCAACCACCACCAAACCAACCACCATCAAACCAACTACAACCCCCACTAGACCTACTACTACGACCACTACCAAACCAACTACCACTACTACTAAAAGTTATTGAGTTCTCAAATATTGAATTGAATGTCGTTGAAAGAATAAATTTCTTAATAATTTATAATAAAATGTTTTAATTTTAAGTTATTTTTATGTTTCGATAAACAAATTAAATATTTAATAAGTTTTAAACGTGACTTCTTTCAAAACAGAGCCACCGGCCTGTCTTAGCCGGCCATGTTTAAACGGCGCCAACTGCACGGACCTGGCGAATGGTGGCTACTTCTGCAGCTGCAAACCTTACTACACTGGAAAAAATTGCGAAACTAGTAAATTTGATGATAATTCGTCACAATTAAAGACAAATTTTTGAAGTTTTTCACGCAAACACAATAAAATTATCTTTCAGGTATGACATTTCAATAGCAAAAGACTTGACATACGATCAATGAAATGATTGACTTTATTTGAACGAGCATTGTTCATTTTGTTAAATTATTTGATTTAAACCGTAAAAATCAACGTAAGCGAGTAAATTTACAATTTACTACAGCAATATTGAAATTAAATTAATCAATATTTCCTATATAAAGCATTTTGTAACCGACTTTGTGCAAATTTTTTCCAAGACATCTTCCACCCCTGTCGAAGTGGTCCATGTGTGAATGGCGGCAAATGTATCGAGCTTGGCAACTGCACCTCTCAGTTCAAATGTGTCTGTCCGTTTGGATTCACTGGAGCGCGCTGCGAAGTTGAAGGTTGTCGTTTGTGGGATTCGCGCGTCATTACCACTTAAAATTTATATTTAGGGGGTAAATACCGCCATATCGTTCGATAGCGGTAAAGTTATTTTACAAAATGAACACCAGTGAAAGAATTTGTGCTGAACGTGACGGCCCGGGAGACATTGAGCGCTCTCTACCTGGACAGCGTTCAAATATTCAACCTGAGCAACGTTGCTGACTGGAAGAAAGTTGCAACGGTAAGAACACCCATCACCACTCGTCTCATTGCCGTCATGGCTGGCAATATTCACGATATGTGCGCCGGTTTGTTGCTTTTAATCTCCTCTTTGAATGTAGAAAAAATAATTAATTTTCCGAAGGTTTTTTATGATTCTTCTTTATTCAAACATATTTTTGCAATGCATGGATGTCTTGATATTTTTGTTTTTCGAGATAGCCACGTCAAAAATGTACAACAAAATCAAACTAGGAATCCTGCTGTCAGAAAGGAATCAGTACATTCTAAGCAGCAACATCAACTGGAAGTGTTACATTGATGCCTCGCTTGGATGGGCCAGCCTGACCTACAACGATTCACATTGGCCCACTGCCCACGTTGTCGCTAGTAATGGGCCCGTTGTTGGCTGCCCCGATTTAGAGGTTGTGAAGGACATCCATCCCGATGCTAAATGGATTTGGACAACTCGTAACATTCAGTTTGATTTGGTGGTCTACTGCCGTGGCTACATAGGTTTGTTTGATCATTTCTAGAATTCTTGCAAAGTTGATCGAATTTATTTTCGGTAGTATGTCTTAACAAACTGTGCGACATAAAAAATTTTAATTATCATAAAATTTCACGTTTGTCTTCGTTCTTGTAACTGATGAGATGTGATGTCAAATGATTTAATGTTCGGAATTGAATTCTACTGTCACGTTAACTTTTACCCATTTTATTTAATACTTTTGTTAATATAATTTATCAGAGTTAAAAAAATAAATTTACAAAGACATATGCAAATCTAAACCATGTCAGAACGGAGGGATATGCCACAGGAGTGGCAGCCAGTTGTGCGCCTGTCTGAAGGGGTTTACTGGAACATTCTGCGAGAAAGGTTAAACAACATTTCCCTACAGTTTGTAATGAATAAATACAAAAGAAATCAAAGACAAATATAATAAAGATATATATTAAATAGATTAATAAATTAAATAAGCTATAGTGGTATAATTTGCATTTACCGTGTGACCATTCAGTTTAAAGACCCTTAAACAATATCTAAACAGTCGAGTACACGGATTTATCCGTATTTGCCTACGAAAAGCTGGAATCAGTTTACATTGACGACGTTAAGATGAAGACCATTACGAACGGCGTGAACAAATATTCTCTCCACCCACTCGTTCGCCAGTTGAAGTTCATGGTTATCGATGCTAATCAGGTTTCTGATACCAAGAAATGTTACGGACTCGTCGGTTCGACGGGTGTGGGTCCCATTGATTTAATCACTTACAAATTAGAGTTAGTGAATAATTACCTTACTTTATTATTTCAGTTTAGTCTTTAGCTACTAGTGCGAGGTGCGATATTCGCTGCTTTCTCCGCTTCACTTTCTTCTGCAGAGAAACATTGTGTAGATTCGTCGTTGGCGACAGTTTTTGTTGTGTTTTAATATTCATGATATGAAGCGCTCTCGTGTGGCTTGTATCTATTAAAAAAATATACATTGTTATGTTTATTCATTCACGCAATCATGGTTGCAACAAACATTTAAAATAAAGTTGGAAAAGTGAGTACAACACGGAAGCAGGCTGGCACCGGAACGACTTCAACGACACCAAATGGGTTTTACCTGACGAACTTAAGATGAATAATGAATCCCGATGTACGGATTTGAAACCGATTCCTGACATCAGAAGCACTGCTCGCTGGATCTGGCCTCCGAAAGCATCTGACAGATATTTGGTCGCTTTTTTTAGGGCAACCACAAGTTGGTAGCATATCAAAATTATTAAATCGAAAAAATAAGATCATACTTTTGTAACATTTATACGTTTATAAATGAATAAATTTTTAAAATAAATGATTGAATTACCTACGACAAAATAAATTCAGATTTGTGCAAAAAACAGTTGAGCATCTGTCAGAACCAGGGCACATGCAGTCCTAGCAAGGGTCCGATATGCGTCTGCCCATCAACATTCACTGGACCGTACTGCGAGTACAGTAAGTTTAAAAAGATTTTTTGATTTGATTGCTCTCATTTAAATTTGTGTTAGTTAATTATAGCGGTTCAGTTAAACTGTGAATAACAATGTAATAATTTTTACAATTAGAAATTGGAGTTGATGTTCCAGGTCCGGAAGCTTCATGTCCATCCAATTTTTGAAACATCTGTAAAAGAATATTCAAATATTATTGTATTAAAAACGTTACAGACTTGAAAACATGCGTCAATCAACATTTGTTTGAAATTCATTACATTTTTATATTTTGTTTAAAATCCGCTTACTCGATGCAATAAAGAATATCAACATACAAATAATTTTCAGTAGAAACTTTTCATAGCAGACGTTCACATTGCTATCTTCATATATATTATTAAAATTTTCCTGTTTATTCATTACACTTAATATGAATACACACGCATAATTCATAAATATATTAATTCTCCATTCTTTCTGAAAGAAGGTATAGATACGCTTAACAACACGAGTCGAATAGTTTTTTAACTGATGTTCAAAATTAGCAGCTAAACTATATGCGGCCTACATTTTTTAAACTGCACTTAAATCTATATAGAATAATAAAGGTAATGGGTGGATAATGTAAGTTGGTTATGATACTAGCAAGAATTAAAGTCTTATGTGCAATATTAAATGAATTGCATGTAATAAACAAACTTTAATATAATTTTTCTCATGAATTTGACAAATAAGGGGTTATGGCGCTGATATAAGCAGCTTGTACTTTTTTTTTATTAGATTCATTTAGCATTCAATCTCCCAAGCCTGGAAAGGTTTAATTTGGTAATGTGAATCCTGAAGTCTTTGATATATGGAAACTTGAATCGAGCGAATTGTTATCATTAAATATTACTGAACATATACTATAGTTAGTTTAACATTTTCAGATTGTGGCAGCGATATAATCATTTATGTTAATTCCTAGCATTATTTAATATATATGAATATGGCATTTTACAATAGATCTGTATAGTGTTCATGTGTGAATTGCAATTCTAGCTTAAAATTTCGTGTAGCCCAGAGTATAAAAAGTTGTAAACCAAAAAGTGAAAGTCGAAGGCTGAATAGAGAACTAATTTTTAGAGTAACTTTCCTGTTTTACACGGTTAGGTGTCTTTATTTCTTTACTCAAGTTTTCACTTTTTTAAAACTCTTATTAATTAACTGAAAAAGTACAGAAATTAATAATAAAAGTAGTAAAATTTACTTACACTGATTTAGTGAATTCTATTTGATAAATGAATGATTTATTTTTTTAATTAGCTTACAGCCGGTTTAGGTCTTTAGGATTTAGGAAAGTTGAGCTTGATTGAGACTTGAGAGTAAGTTGGTAAGTAAGCCATTGTCGGTGAGAGAATTCCAGAGAGAAATGGCGGCCAACAAGAAGGCGGGTGGGCAGCAGCAGGCATCTCGCATATCAATTTACGTGTCATGTCAGAATTTATTGAACAAGGATGTCACCTCAAAGTCTGATCCCTGTTGTGTTCTCTTTGCTCCTGATCACAACTTGCTTTGGTCAGAGGTAGTTAAGTTTACTTTTAGTTTTTTTTTACACTAATTACTATTTACTACAAATTTATGACTAAAATAAAAGTTAATGCTACCATTTACTACTATGTTTTTGCTTTTTTCTGGCTTTTTTCTCTGGAACTCTCTATCTCCTTCTCTGACTACTTTTCCATCACTTACAAAGTTCTAAGCGGATCTCAAGACCCATCTGTTCGCAAAATTCATTGAGGAGAGTGGAAATAACGCTTTATATAAACATAAACTAATTGATTATTTGATTAATTGGTATGTACATTTTATAATTTATTTTATATAGTGTTAATTTAATAATATTCTTAAATTTAGTCTTTTATTTAAATAATTAACTCTTTTTGGACATTTACCAAGGTGGGCAGGACAGAGAGGATAAAAAATTGTTTGAACCCACAATTCAGCAGAGCATTCGAGGTGGATTATTATTTCGAGCAAGTGCAAAAAGTTAGGTTCATGATTTATGATATAGACAGCAAGGCCCAGAATCTTTCTGATGATGACTTCCTGGGCTCCTTTGAATGCACCATTGGGGAGGTGATCTTCTATGTAATATGTAATTTTGTGTGTTTGTTTGTGTGTGTGTCAGTGTGTGTGTGTGTGTGTGTGTGTGTGTGTGTGTGTGTGTGTGTGTGTGTGTGTGTGTGTGTGTGTGTGTGTGTGTGTTTGTGTTTGTTTGCATTTATATCAACCACAGTAGCTTATTTCAAATGATTTTTGTTTTTTTTTATCAGATTATTAATTTATTTTATCATTAGTTAGTTTGTTCAGTCACTCAATTTTTCATTCATTCAATCAATCAGTTGCTTATAAACTCATACACTAATCCGTCCATACATTCATTTGTATATTCATTCACTCATATTGAGGTTATTTTTTCATTCAAATTTCAAATGAGTGAAAGTCCAAAAATTCTAAAAAAAAAATAATCTAGAAATAACACATTTTATAAATTGTAAATTGCTGTTTATCAGGCAGTATCCAATAGCCCGATGACCAGACCACTGTCTAGGAAGAACGACAAAAGAGCTGGAACTAGTACAATCACTGTAATAATTCACTATTATTATTGATATAATTATTATTATTGTTATTATTGTTATTGTTGTTGTTATTATTATTATAATTACTGTTGTTGTTGTTGTTATTATTGTTATCATTATTAATATATGCACTCCTTAGTAGTTCTTGGAGGATAATTCACATAATGTAAAGATTTAGTTTCTTGTTCTAATTTATTTTGTCTAGATTTTAATTATATTTTCATTATAATTAATGATAATCATTTGAAGACATTTAATTATCTACTTACTAATTATACCAATCACTTGTGTTAGTGAAACTTAGTTCTAAATATATTTTCTAATAAATTTGTTTTTCTAGGCTTTTTTCCATTTAAAGATTGCCATTAATTTTTATAATTAAGTCATTTATTCATATAAAGTTAAATAAATGAAATAAAATTAAATTTTTGGCTGTTTATTCAGATAACAGTTAGAGAAATGCTGATACAGCCTGAAGTGTTAAGCCTAAATTTCAAAGCCAAACATTTGGATAAAAAAGTTAGAATTTAAATATGTGTGTGTGTGTGTGTTTGAGTATGTGTTTTTATGAATAATAGTGGTTTTTATGTAAATTTAGTTACTTTATTATATGTTAATTTATAGTTAGTCATAAAATTTTTCAATCTGTTTTTTTTTATTACACATTAAGTTGTGTGTGCCTGTGCTTGTGAGTGTATGTGTTTGTGCGTGTATGTGTTTGTGCGGGTGTTTGTGCGTGTATGTGTGTGTCTCTGCCTGCCTGTCTACATATTTAAAATGTACATGTATGTACCTAAATTGCAAATGTGTCTGCTGCTGAAAATAGGATTTGATGGGCAAGTCTGATCCATTCCTTGTCCTCCATTGCATTATGCCAGATGGCTCGTGGCAGGTTGTGCACAAAACTGAGGTCTGTTTGTGTGGTGGGTTGTTTGTGTGCCTGTATGTTTGTTTGTTTGGTTGGTTGGTAGGATGGTTGGTGGGATGGTTGGTCGGTTGTTCATTCTTTTGTTTGTTTGTGTGTGTATTTGTTTGTTTTTTATAGTTTAAGTTTTAGTTTCTCTTGGATTCTCATACTTTGTTATGTGTCTTATAATCTTATCAACTCAGTAAGGTTTCATTGCAAATGAGTGACTTGGTTTTAATATAACTCACTAGTTTTTGGGTAGTTTGTTTATTGTTTACCGAACTTACACAGACATTCTCTATAATTGCTCTGATTGTGTATGCAATCTAATCAATTATGTACTTATATAAAAATTATAGATGTATGATTATTATATTGTGTTATTATTATAGAGTTTATCCTATCTATAATTATGATAATGTTTGCAAATAAGGTTATCAAAAATACATTGGACCCAGTTTGGGAGCAGTTTGATATAAGGACCAATCAGCTTGCTACTATCAATTATGATCAGCCAATCAAAGTTTGCCACATATTTAGTTTTTTTATTTAGATTTTTATTTTTGTTATGATTAATAATAATAATAATTATTATTATTTTTATTTATGATTTTTATGTCAGTCTAGAAAAAATAATTTTATTTATCATATTGCAAAAAAATTTTCAGTGTTCCTTGGTCAATCAATCAGTTAACCAATTAATCAATCAATTAACTGCCCAGCCAATCAATCAATCATTCCTAATCAATCAATCAACCAATCAATGACCATCCAATCAATTGACTGACTAGCCAACAACTAACCAATCAATAGATTGAATGTCATGATTATGATTCAGATGGGTCCCACGATTTGATTGGCTCATTCACGACCACTGTTAACGAGATCATGAGGGCGACCAATGGCGTTGAGGTTTCTTTTTTTCTTCATTTTCAATTTAAATTTTTTTATTAAATTTATTTATACATGATAAAAAAAATTCAGTAAGACAATTTTTAACTAACTTAAAAAGATTCACTGGTGCAGTTTTTTTTATATTCTTGTAATGTTTAATTTTTACAAGCAAATAATAAATAAGCAAATAATAAATAAGCATTGTGATGGAATGTGTCCTTTTTTGTGTTATCATTGTAAGACTTTATCATCATCATTATTACATCATCATTATTTATTATTGTTATTATTATTCTTGTTGTTATTATTATTATTATTTTGTTATACGTCCTACCTCGGGAGAACTGGGTCTCTGGATGCTAAACAATGATTGATTGATTGATTTGTTAGACTTAATGGTTGTTCTTAGGTGGAATGGCAATGTGTGAACCCTAAAAAGTTATCCAAGAAGGGCTATTGCAACTCTGGGATGATTTATCTGACAGCTGTCAGGGTAGATTTGAAGTTTATTCATTCATTCGTTCGTTCGTTCATTCGTTCATTTGTTCATTCATTCATTCATTCATTTTTTCATTCATTCGTTTATCCATTTCTTCATTCATTCATTTGTTTATTTATTCACTCATTCATTCATATTTTTTACAGCACTACAGAGACTACAGCTTCCTTGAATATGTCTTTGCTGGTCTGCAGTTAAATTTTAGCGTTTGTATTGTTTATTTATTGCTGTTATAAATTTATTTTTAGTTATTCGCTTTTCTAATGTTAATTAATTAATCAATCAATCAATCAATTAATCAATAGATCAATTAATCAATCAATCAATCAATCGACCAAATTAATTTATCAAGTTAAGTGATGTTGTAATGTTAGGTTGGCGTAGATTTCACATTTTACACGTAAGTTTTCTTAATAGTAATAGTAGTAAAATTAACAGTAGTAGTAATAATTGCAGTTGCATCGGCAACTTGCTTTCCTAGCATTACTATTTACTTAATTAATTAATTAGTGAGTTAATTAATTAATTAATTAATCAATCAGGTAATTAATTAGTTAATTGATGTTGTTATGGTAGGTTGGTGTGGACTTTACGGCATCCAATGGCGACCCCAAAGAGCCAGGAACACTGCATTACATCAATCCAAAAAAACCAAACCAATACATGAAGGCTATCAAAGCCGTTGGTGATGTTATTCAAGAATATGATAGGTTGGTTGGCTGGTTGGTTGAATGAGTTACTCTCACTCTCTCTCTTTCTCTCACTCTCTCACTCACTCATTCACTCGCTCACTAATAATGATGAAGAGGATGATGATGGTATTGTCGTATTACAACAGCGATCAAATGTACCCTGCCCTGGGGTTCGGGGCTCGTGTGCCCCCATCGAAAGATGTCCTCCACGAATTTGCCATCAATTTCAATTCCTCTGACCCATTTTGCAAAGGTTCTATAAATTGTTTTGGTGCTGATACGTTAATGATGACGGCGACCATGACGATAGTAATTGAAATTTTTAAAATAACGCCAGGTAACCCGGCAAAAACAGGCGTACAGGGTATATTGGACGCGTATCAAGCTTGCTTGAGTAAGGTGCAGCTGTACGGACCCACCAATTTTGCCCCCATCATCAATCACGTCGCCAGGTTCGCACTGCAGACCCAGCAGGAGCAGAGTGCTAGGGTTGGTTTCAAATGATCGGTTGGTTGGTTGATTGATCGCTGGAGACGTTCGTTGATTGAATGATTGATTGAATGAATGATTGATTGATTGATTGATTGACTGACTGACTGACTGACTGACTGACTGACTGACTGACTGACTGACTGACTGACTGACTGACTGACTGACTGACTGACTGACTGACTGACTGACTGACTGACTGACTGACTGACTGACTGACTGACTGACTGACTGACTGACTGACTGACTGACTGACTGTGACTGACTGACTGACTGACTGACTGACTGTGACTGACTGACTGACTGATTGATTGATGGAGACGTTCATTGAATGAATGATTGGTTGGGTGATTGATTGTTGGAAAGACTGGTTTTGTAGGTTACGTAAGATTGCAGTCCTAATTTATCTCGACTCCAGAACTACTACATCCTGCTGATCCTGACTGACGGAGCAATTTCGGATACAGACGACACCATAAAATCCCTGGTGTATGCATCCACCCTCCCCATGTCGGTCATCATCGTCGGTGTTGGTCTGGCTGACTTCTCTACCATGAACATCTTAGATTCCGACAGCAAGGCTCTCGCCGACAAGGATGGCGTGCAAGCTAGAAGGGATATCGTGCAGTTTGTTCCTATGAGAGATTTTGAAAATGTTCGTGAACTGTTGCGCCATCGTCGTTGTTGGTACTGTTCGTGTTTTGTCTCAGTTTTTGTTGGTGTGAATTTTGTCTTTCTCGTACTGTTGATGTTATTTTTTTCTATGGTAGGGTTTTTTCTAATCAAACAATCAATCTGCCAATCATTCAACCAATCATTCATCCAACCAACCAATCAACAATCACGCCCACAGAGCCCAGCAGAATCCCTCTCAAAGCACGTACTTGGTGAAATACCGAAGCAAGTGGTTGAATACTTCCGTATGTACACTATCCCACCGGGAAGGGGGGTGGTCAAACCCTTGGCTCCCGTCTCTGAAGCGCCCCCAGCTGATCATTAACTTCTAACTCGTACCGTCTGATTGATTCAGTAATAAGTTTCAATACACGTAATTTGATATGTTGTATTCATCATTCAGACGTGAATTTTTTATCTATTTTTGTGATTACATATTTCGTTAATGCTTAGTTAGACTACGTTTTGTATCATTGTAATTTTGTTCTTGCTTTCAATCTACTAATTGTAAGGTTAGTTGAATTTATTATAAAATTTATTATATTATATTATAAGGAATTATATACTATTTTTAACACAAATTGATATTTCAATTTTTAAACGTGTTAAGTTTAAATTCAAATGTTAGTAAGTTTTTTTTTCTTCAAATTTTGTTCATTCATCTGCTAGTCTTCCGCGTTACTCTAACGATAGTATTCTCCATTTTTTAACACTTTTCACACGGATGACTTGTTTTTCTTTGCGACGTGCTAGTGATTTTTTATGTCACGAAATGTTTTGAGGTTAACGAGCGAGCGTAGGATGGTTCGTTCCTGTTAAACCTCTGTTTCAAGTTTAACAGAAATTTATCAATATTACAAATATGAGACTTATCTGTTTTCTGTTTTTATTAGTTGCCAGGGTTAATCTTGAAGTTTATTTTTGGCGTTTTATTTTGTACGTTTTTAAACGTTTATGAATTTTTCCTGGTTTTGGATCTGAATCACACACCACACACACACAAACACACACACAAATATATATATATATATAAAACTTGATAAAATTTTATCAACAATTATAGCTTCTCATCTTGCAATATTGATATAGGCTGATCTGGATGTTTTTATATTGGATAAAATTATTTGTTCTGTGTCAAATTAAAGCATTTTTCATTCATTTTCCTTCAATTTACATGAAATAATATTATTTTTCGACGCGTCATTTTGTCTCGTTACATTAATGGACACTGTTTCTACATGTGGATAGTAAGAATTGAGGAACAGTCGACAAGATGCCAATCATGATGAGCGAAATCGTGTATAATTTATGTAATTATTACTATTTTAATAATTTTCATCTTTAAGTTATGCCTACACTTGTGTACAGTTTGTACATATAAAATGAACACTGGATTCATCGTGCACGCAGACAGCCATATTGTATTGATACATAAGCAATATGTAAAATGGAATAATACTGACATTACTAAAGCTTCAGATCGAGCACAGGTTTTTTTTACTAAAAGCAAGTTATTTCATTTTAAAATGGGCATATATATATAAAGGTACATAAATCACATCAAGAACAGACAAAAAAGACAAACCAAATATTATAAATGATGCGAAATATGCATGGAGTTATATGTTATCGATCGATCCATCACTTGCGAAGTTCAGAGTTGATCTCAAGACCCATCTGTTTTCAAAATTCATTGAGGAGCGCTGTTGAACATCGTGGAAATAGCGCTTTATAAGCTAATTGATTGATTGATTGATTGATTGATTGATTGATTGATTGATTGATTGATTGATTGATTGATTGGTTGGTTGGTTGGTTGTTGGCTTAATGCGTTGACGGCGATCCATAGAATTGCATTTACGTGGATTTTAGTTTCGTTTAAATTTAAGTTCACATTTAAAGAAAATTGTCTTGGGTTTTCATGGAGTTCTGTTTTGCTTTAGTTTGAAAATCGATCTAAAACTATGGAATGTAAATGCCCTGATTCGGTGTAGATGGTGTAATTAGTCAATAGTTTTTATTTTATTGTGCGTTTTTGTATGTATGATAAGCTTTTGGCCGAATCAAATGAATCTGGTGATGAGATAATGAGTCCCAGTAGCAACAGGTCAACAAATTCTACGTGGCCCCACGTTGTCAATCTGGCAAACAGTATCATCGGCGTGTCCGTCCTTGCTCTACCTCTCTGCTTCCAGCAAGTTAGGGTCCACTAACAATTAGTTTTAATTTTATATTATTGTATGTTATTTCTTAAATTTACACTAGTAGTTTAGAAATTAGAATGGAGATAAATAATGGAAATAACAATTATCAGTTTATTTTGACATTTCATTCAATTAATTTAATTTTTAGAAACATGATAGTCGTATTATTATATGCACACATGTCAGGCCACAATTAATTAAATAAATTATCACTGCAGTTGCAGTGTACTTATAAAATTTTCAACTCACTCTCTCAACTTCTCTCTCTCTCTCTCTCTCTCTCTCTCTCTCTCTCTCTCTTTCTCTCTCTGACTCTGTCTAACTCTGACTACAAACTAATTATAGTTAATTAAAATTAATTATAAATCCCTTTAAAAATCAATGATCTTTTCAATTCCCTCAAAGTGTGGTGTCATCTTAGGTACTGCGTTACTTTTGGGTTCAGCTTGGCTTGCATATGACTCATGTCTGCTGCTCACCAAAACTGCTACCCTCACCAAGAAGAGATCTTATGAATTTTTAGGTTTAGTCTTGTTGTTATTGTGTAATTTATATTGTTATAATTATAATTTTTCCTTTTAATATAATTTTAATTAAATCTCTATAATTTAAAATCACAATTTAATAAATTTGTTTAAATTTTGGAAGTTTTTTCTATATCACTGTTAGAACTGAATATCTGTTTTAGATCCAGCACATATTAATATTGTTTAAATATAACAACAGTTAGTTTTATTTGGTAAATTTACTCTTTAGTTTAATTTAAAGTTGTCATTATTTTGTATGATTATAGTACATTTTTTTTACATTTTCAACCACAGCTTATTACATATTTGGGCAGAGTGGAAAGTTAGCTGTTGAGATAAGGTAAGTTGTCACACCACACACTGTCACACACACACGCGCGCGCGCGCACGCACGCACACGTTCTTGCATATTTAAACTACATTTCACAAAACTTCTTAGTACAGACTTCATTACTTAAATCATTAACATAATCTTTATTCCATACTTCTTATCATTCATCATCTCAGTATTATCATCGTTACCACTATCATCAGGGCTATATCCTCATTTTTATCATTATTTCATTGTCATTATCAATATGTCATCATCATTATCAATATATCATCTTCTTTATCAATATATCATCATCATTATTAAAATCACTCATCATTCAGCACAATGGGTTTATTGTTGGGCACCTTAGTTGCTTTTTTCATCATAATCGGTGATATCGTCCCTGCTTTATTGTCACTCATCTTCAACATTGAAGTCTGTTGTTATTTGCTGTTATTTCTTCTGATTGTTTGGTGGAAATGTTGGTGAAATTGTTGGTGATAATGTGATGGTATGATGAGGATGATGCTGGGGTGCAATGATGATGGCAATGATGGAGATGGTGATGCGATTGTGTGATGTTGATGTGATGTGGTGTTGATGATATTATTATAATTTATTATAATTTATTATAATTTATTATTTAGAATTCGACGCAACTGAGAACGACACTTCTATTGAGTTTGGGTCTCTTGGTCATTCTGCCTCTCTGCATGAAATCAAACCTAGAGAGTATCAGTAACCTGAGTCTCATGTCTTTACTATTCTACATGTTGTTCTCTATTATGGTTCGTTATGTCCGTCCGTCCGGAAATCTTTTCGTCTGAAAATGTTAACGTCTGTTTGTCTGCTTTTACGTCTGTTCATTTGTCTGGATGTGTATTTGTTTACCTGGGTGTGTATTTGTTTATCGGAATGAGTATTTGTTTGGATGTCTTCCCGTCTGAGTGTCTGGATGTCTTCCTTTAAAACGAAACCACCAACAGGCAGTATCGTCATCGTCAGCACACATAGTAACGTGGGAATTTGTAACTAGAGTTAAGTATTGGGATTTTGATGGTCTCTTTAAGAGTCTGCCTATATTTGCACTCTCTTACGCTTGCCAAATGTTAGTGGAATGTGCAATGTGTGTTTGCGCGTGTGTGTGTGTGTGCGTTTGTGTGTATATGTGTGTGCTTTTACATACCATACTATTATTATCATTATTCTTAAACACGCTGATGAGTAGCCAGTTATTTCTGGTGTACCACTCGGCCCCGGACATATCACTCAAACAAGTCTGCTCCATTGTTAAGAATTCCGTCCTACTCTCGTCTGTCATCTATTTTCTGGTTAGTTAGTCATTTTCACTCACATCATCAGCCGTCATCATTTTACTATTGGATCGCCATAAACTTATCATCAGGTCGCCATAAATTTACCTTAGAATCCCCATAAATTTACCTTAGAATCGCCACAACTTTGCCATTGGATTGCCATCTGACCTTTATAACATCGCTATCACATCACATAAAACATGAAATCACCATAGAACCATCATAACATCATGTTTGAAACTCACACGCACACATACACACACAACGCAACAACGTAACAACACAACAGGTCGGGTACTTTGGCTACGTAACGTTCTACGACATTGACATCAGTGGAGATGTGCTGATGAATTACCCAACCTCCACCTTGGCTGGTTTCATCAAGATGGGCTTTGTCATCAGCACCATTCTCAGCTTCCCTCTCGTTATATTTCCCTGCAGATGCAGTCTTTATACTCTGTTTTGCTCTAAAGTAAGGACGATGAAGATGATGATGAAGATTGTATTGATGATGATGATAATGATGATGATAATGATAGCTATGATGATAATAGTGATAGTTATGATGATGATAATGATGATGATGATGAGGGTGGTGGTGATGGTGATGGTGATGATGATGATGACGACGACAACGGTGGTGATGATCGTTACGGTGACGATGATGATTATAGTGGCCATGATGATGATTAAGATGATGATGATGACGGTTATGAATGGAGATGATGACGATGGCTAAAATTGTTATTAGTTAAAATTATGCTAGCGATATTGTTATGCCAGATATTTATTTATAATTATGGATTGATGATAATCATTTGAATGAATGATGACGATGGTGAGGACGACGATGAGGAAGACTGATAGCGTCATAAGCGTTTTAGTTGGTTCAGTTTCTTTATGACGATGACGATGGTAATCTTTTTGACGATGATAATCTTTTTGACGATTGCATCTGATTTGATACATAGATATTTACGAAACTGTCCTGGTTATGACATTAAACTGACCCTCACTGCCTTGTGAGTGATGTTGGATCATCAAAGGCTAGGCCCACCGCTTATAACTGTGGTTGCGTAAGGCAGGGCGTCCTGCGTAAAAATTAGCCAAATAAATTACTTATGATGACAGAAGTGACAATGGCCCTCAGTATCCGACAAAATGGCGTCGAGGGGTATTTCGGTTTCATCATAGGTAGCCAAACGGCAACCCCCGATCTCGGGGAAAATGTCGTCTAAACGTGTGTTGTTGTTGTTGTTGTATATTTACGAAACTTATAGTATGTATATGGTATATAGGATGACGACGATGATGACGACGATGATGATCGTAATATATAAGTACCTGGAAGTTATAGCTAAATGAAATGACAGCTAGAGAGAATAATTATAAATAATAACATTTAGTAAGAAATTTTTGTTTCTCTGACGGTATAGAATATGAAAATGGTCTAGTAAATGATTGAGATTGTGAATTTAAAAAACAATCGATGAAATGTTGTCGGTTATATGTAGGAGGCTAATTATTTTTTTTTTTTCATCCATACATATTTTGCTAAACTCGATCGAAGTTTTCAGAGTGGTATCATTGTTTTTCAAGTTTTACGAATTTTCTATCGACTTTGTAATCCAAATCGGTGAGGAATCAAATTTTCAGGAATCAAATTTTCAAGACTCATTTTATAAAATTAATTCATTTGCTGACGTTTTAATCTTATAAAGCGTTAATTATTAACGCAACAACCTGATAGCTTTGATCAAATGCAACAAAATATGTATACAGAAATATTTTGCTTAAATTTACTAATATATATATATATTAATATATATACAATTATTGATGAAAATCACAGCATGTTCCGCGTAAGTTAGCTTTCTGTTTAACGCCGAACATGCTGTGATTTCCATCAATAATTGCATTTCTTACAGTCTTAATCCAATAATATATGTATATATATATATATATATATATATATATATATATATTATATATATATATATACATGTATATGTTGGAAAGAGACCATATTTTATTTTATACAGTATTATATGAATTCTACAAAATTGTTGGCGTTAATAAGTTTAACGTTTTAAACCTTAAATTGATTAATGTCAACGGTTTGGTAGAATTCATACAATACTGTATACATGTTTATATACATTAAACAAATTTTAGGGTTTAGTAAATGATAATAGTGATGATGTTGAGGAAGATGATGATGATTATGACGAAGAAGATAAGGTAATAATTATTATCATCATCATCATCATTTTTATAGTCCTCGTCATCATCACCATCATCATACTCATTTTAATTATTATTATTGTTGTTATTATTATTATCATTGTTATTTTTATTATTATTTTCCTAGATGACATCATTACGTTTATTTATCCCGTGACGTCATTTCGTTATCTATTCTATGCTGATAGTATTATTATTTTATTATCGTTGTTTATTACTAATAATACTGATAACAGTTATTGTTCAGTTAGTTATTAATTATAGTTATAATAATAATAATAACTTTAACTGTTGTTGTAGTAGTAATAATAGTTGTTATAATAATTAAAATTAGTTGCTTACACCTCTAGCATTTTGGATCTTTCAATCATTTTTAATTCTTTGTTTCTAGTAGATAAAAAACGAAATATGCCATTTTATTTGTATTTGGTCGAATAGTCGATCCACTATCCGCCTAAGCCGAAGGAATTTTTCGAACATTTTCGAAAGAAAAAATTATTTTTTAGAATGAAAAGCGCAAGATTTAAAAAAAAATCCGAATATTTCGCTAATAATTATCAACGATTATTGTTCTAGAATAAAAAAATTGATGGCATACATGAAAATTGCAATATTCGTCAATTCGGACTTTAAAAATGGCCGAATAGCCAAAGTCCAATATCAAATTTCGGCCGAATGTTTGGCGCGTTAACTTCAAAATTTGTCAAAAATTTTATTCTTAATCTTTGCTTTTATAACTTATGTGTGTGTGTGTGTGTTTGCGCGTGTGTGAAGGATTGCCGTAGAATGTGACGTATTGATTATAAAATGATAATAAAACGGTTTTAGATATGTGGTTAAATTTCATTGTCATCATTTATATAGTCTGTTTTCTGCTTGTGTCTGAGCTTCAAATTTCACTTTTCATTACGCCACATTTCATTCAATTGTTTAATTAATAAATTAATTGATTGATTAATAAATTGATCAATTTATTATTCTAATTTACTAATTAATCAATCAATTAATTTGTTGTCCAGAATCTGCACGACAACATCGGTGGCACTGTGCATATACCACTGAATCATTTTAGGTATTTGACGTGTTGCATCGTACTTAGTACCCTCATAACTGGAATACTGGTACCTAAAGGTCGATATTTCGTTTCGGTACTTTGTTTCGGTATTTTGCTTCGGTATTTCGGTTTGGTCGATATATTGTTTCGTATTTCGGTTTTTCATTTTTATTTTGTATATACTGTTTTAATATCAATAAAAATTATTGTTATTAATTTTATAATTGTAATTGTATTTTTAGCAGCTGTAGTAATAGTAGTGGTTTTATTATTCTTATTTTCATTCTTATTGCAGTTGAGTTTGTCCTTGGCTTGACTGGATCGACCCTTGGTTCGATGATATGTTACATACTGCCTGCTGTTATGTATCTAAGGAACAGTAGCTCCGATGACAGAGTTACGAGATCGAGATATATTGCCAAGGTTTGCTTTTGTTGTGCTTTGCGGTTTAGTGGCGGTTTCTGTTGTGTTGTTCTGGTACTCAACATTCATAAATCATTGACAATGTAGACTGAAATTCAAGTCAACAAACAAACACATTAGCAGAATATTCACAGACAACAAACACCCAATAACAAAAAAAAAAAACGAACAAACATCAGATAGTCTTGTTAGTTGGATTCGCCATCCTCATCATCAGCACCCTGGCCACTCTCTCCGATACGAACATGGAGACGCACAACGTGGTCGACCTTCTCGATAAGAAAGACCCCCACCGCGAACAACAACAACCACTCCACCCTCAACAAATTCAACCAATCCCTGAGGACTCTGCCAAAAAACCCCCTCCTCCGGCAGTTGTGCCCGGGAAACAACCGTTACCACCTGAATTAATCCACCCAGGAATCGAACCCGTGGCCCCTGGCAAGCAACCCGTCGATCCGGATGCTCAACCCGCTGAGCCACACGTCAATGATGAATCGAAAGATACAAAGACTAACAGAGTAGATAATGATGTCGATCGAGATGGATTGAAGGAAACAAAGATTATGAAAACGAGTAAAGATGTTAACTACGGGGACGCTGATCACGTGACTAAATCCGTAGCCAATGAAGGTAAAGGAAACAGCAAAGTTCATGTCATTAAGAAGGAAGGCGATGGTGAGCCCGTGCTGCATGGGATTGCAAATAAAGATGGTTTTGTTATTATTGTTCAATTACTATTTAGTTTTTATAATTGTTGTTACTATTATTATTATTATTATTATTGATTTCTGTCCACTTGTAAAATTATTTATATCAATAATTTTTACCGAAAATTATTTCCTTCAAAAAATCATCAATAATATTTATCATTTAATGACTTTTAAGATCCTGTCGATGACGTTACGAGGAAAAGCAACAAAGACAACAACCATGACGTCATCTATAGGAAGGAAATAAAACGAAATGACGGTAACGACGATAATAACGTCGTCAACTTACAAGGTACCAATGCAAGTATGGACAGCCATAACAATCCTATTGACAACAAAAATGTTGAACAACAGATGGATTTCTACAGTAACAACAACAACGAAGACGAAGATCAAAAACATCATATCGCAAACAAATCCCAAAATGGCGACACGCGCGTCATCAAATCTGATGACGTCATCGTCGATAAGGCTCTAGATTCAGATAGGATGGTTCCATCTCAAATACTGGACAAGCCGAAAAACAAAGACAGTGTAGTCAGTGTAAATAATAGCACCTTAAACAAAAATGGCGCAAATGACGATAATTTAGGAAATACAATTGCGGAAAGTAATAATAATCTCATTGATCACATTAATAATAATATTGAAGATAATAATTTAAACGATATAAATGACATCAACATCAAGGACATTAATGGGAAAAACATTAACGGTAAGATTGATAAAAACATGAATGCTGACATTAACGAAAATACGAAAGTTAAGAGCCAAAAAATTCCAAAGGACAGCAAAATCATCAGCAGTATCATTGATGACAATAAAAAAATTGGTGACATTAAGGTACAAAAATCGAATGATTTAAAACAGCAACAACCACCACAACAGCTACTCAGCAATCAAAAGCTTCAGCAAGGAAAAACAAACCTGCTGCAAATCAACCAACAACAGCAACCACTGAAACAACAACAGCACAACAACCAACAGCAACAACAACATCAGCAAGGGAACCAGCAACAAAGCAACAAACAACAAAACAAGCAACAACAACAACAGCAAGGAATCCTTAATGATAATCTTAATGCAAAAAACCATCAACAACAGCAGCAACAACAACAACAGCAAAATAATGTTAACAATTTAGCGCAACAACAGCAAAAACAGCAGCTAAACCAACCATCCAACAACTCTTTGGTACATTCTCACCAGGTGAAAACATCAACGTCTTTACTATCAAAGTTAAAATCAACACCAACAACAACTATTACTATCACACTTTCAACAACAACAACAGCAGAAACCACTACTACAACAGCGGCAACAACAAAATTGCCAACTTTGACGACATCAGCTGCAGTAACTACAACCACCCCTAAATTATTTGTCGAAGATAACTTGTGATAAAATAAAATATATTTTATTTACTCTAATTCAATTTGCTCTTACGCACACACACACACACACACACACACACACATCCATAATATTTTTATTCGCAATATTTTTTCTCTAATTTTTTTCTTTTTTTTATAGGCGTTAAAGCTATCCTATGCACGTATTATTAAACATTAAACAGTGTTTATCTACTAGACATATATAGGCATACATACATGAATGAATATAAATACATATGTATGTAATGTGTAATGTGTAAATATGTATGTGTGAGTAGTGTTCGTGTAGATGAAATATTTTAACTTGAGGATTTAAACCGCTAATGATCTGTTAGCCTTCATATAATAATACAAACATTGTATAATATGAACGCTGCCGTTCGTCCTGTATCATCACCATCGGATAAATATCTGTACGTAGTAATCACTTGTAAAATCAACACACACACACACACACACACACATACATAAAATATTATTATTACGGAAATTTATATACAGCGCTTTTTTATTGTTGAATCTCAAAAGCGCTTCTAAATCATAGACAAATAAGGCGGACATTCATTGTGCAAATAAATAAGTTTTAAGTTGACTTCGAAATTGTAAAAATGATAGGTTAGGGTCACGTAAGTATGGAGGTAAACCATTCCAAACAATCGGGCCAAGAACCGCAAAGTTGCGGGAACCCGTCACCAACTTTGTGGTTGGGATAAAAAATAAATTGCGCTCGGTTGATCGGAAGGAATATTTTGAAAAATGAGATTTGTATGATTCCAATCTATCGATGAGATAGGGAGGTGCTGTGTTATTGACACATTTAAACATCAAAACTGCCAACTTCAAGGAAACACGTTTTTCAACCCTCAACCAGGGCAACCTATTCAAAATAGGCGTAACATGATCGAACCACCCAAAACCAGCTTGGCCGCACGATTCTGTATTGACTGAAGCTTTGAAAAAGACCTTTTGGTGACACCATAAAAAAGGCCATTGCAGTAGTCCAGTCTGGAAAAGACGAAAAAGAAAACCAAGCTTTGAAGAACAGACGTGTTTAGTGATTTTTTGACATTGCGTAATAAACGGAGTTGGTTGGAGCAGACCCTCACTAAATTATTAATATGTAAATCCATCTTTAGGTTTGAGTCAATAATAACTCCAAGACTACGGACAGATGTGGAAAATTCAATGATGTCATTGCCGACACTGATCGATGAAATTTTGACCTTCGATAGCTGCTGCCAAGAACCAACCGGTAATATTTGTGTTTTGGATTGATTTAACTTTAACTGATTCATACTCATCCAAGATCCAATTTCGATGAGACAATCAGTCAGTTCATTCAGAGAAGCATCAATCGAATCAACAGGACAAGAAACCAATAACTGAATATCATCAGCAAAGGCGTGGGAGCTGAACTCATATTTTTGAATGACATCAAAAACATCAGCAGTGTACATAAGAAACAACAGAGGTTCCAACACAGATCCCTGGGGGACACCAAATGATAGTTTGTTTGTGTCAGAGAGGGTGTTGTTGAAAGAAACCTGCTGGGTGCGGCCTAAAAGATAGAAAGCGAACCACGATAAGACTGAATCAGAGAGAAAAAAATTTGTGGAGTTTATACATGAAACGAGTATGATCGACACAATCAAATGCAGCACTCATATTAAGTAATGCCAAAAAAGAAACGCATTGACTGTTAACTGAAGAGAACAGTTGGGACAAAATATCAATGAGTGCAGTTCCCGTGGAAAAATATTGACGATAGCCGGATTGATTCTTTGGCAACAAATTGTTTTTGTTTAAATGCTGTAACAATTGTTTGATAACAACTTGTTCAATGACTTTAGAAATGAATGAAAGATTAGAGGTAGGACGGTGTAATATGTATATATATATTTTTTTTTTCGTTTATATATTTTTTTTTCGTTGATCGTAAGCGTTGCTTGCAATATGTTCGTTAATTACGTAATAAATACGGAACGGAATCTTATTTGAACGTAATTAAAATCACAAATCACATGAGGAATTGATGTTACAGAGTGCTGGCCAAAGTAAATTTCTTTAAAAATTTATCCAGCCTAGCCATAGAAAATACATATACGTGCACACGCAAAACGGAGTTAACATTATGAGCAAGCCTAAGTAATGTTATAAAACAATGAAAATGGTAAAGATGAAGACAAGTAAGATGATGGTTTCTCTGCTACATGTAGTACGATGTACCCCCAACAGGCAGTGACTTGACCACCTGGTGACCCTCCGGCAAACGAGATAACACAGCCTGTCAATCAAATTTAGACACTCCCTTTCAATAATGTTACTAACAAATGGTGAGAGATGAAACAACAAATCAAATCATGCCACACGTTCATTCATACGAAAGGCACGTTTAAATCAATCAACCAGTCACATCGAGCTTCGCCCACTTTTACCTTAGCTTTTTTGTCACCGGTGCCCATGTAACCAAGGCACATGCTTTCAGTCGTATGAGCCCACATCAACTCAATAATAAAGAAGCTCTCATCATCATCGATATCGCCTTCGACCGTTCGAAGTTTATTCCATGGGTAGGCTTGTAGCCAGTTGCCGTTACTGTCGTCGCTGCAGAAATCTTTCGGCTTCGGCAAAACTTTTTCAACCGTTACTACAAGTGCGCCACCTAGAGGTTGCCTCTCGTGCTTGAGGAATGGAGAGTCTGCAAGCAGTGAGGGTGATATAATTTGTTAATTACAATTATATCATTATTATATTTATTATAATTTACTAATTTATTTGTAAATGATATTTTTAAAATATAAATAAGAGCGCGCAAAAAAATAACTTACTGATAAATTTTTTCATGAAACATTCATTGACAGCCTCCGCCAAGCCAAGTTTTTCACGACCATCTCCATTATCACTATCGTCATCACTATCTCCACCATCTTCATCGTCGTTATTGTTATTACTGTTGTTGACTTTATTTTTTTTCTTTTCAACGATGAATTCTTTCAACGTCAGTACACATTCTTTGGCCAGCATCGTCTTTGATAACTGTTCACCACACCCTTACGAAGTTTTATTTATTAATTTGTCTATGTTTGTTTACCTTTATTTATTTGTTTATGCTTATTTAGTCATCTTTTTATTCATTTAGTTATCAATTCATTTAATTATTTATGTTATAAATGGCAATGATTCATGCTACCAAAGACAGCAAACCTGATGTGCTAGCAGCCGCCCCACACTGGCCATTCTCATCATTTTCTGCCCAGCATCCACAACCGTACATGGCTGCCTGCGTGAATCAATTAACCAATCAATCCTTCCTTCAATCAATCAATCCATCAATCCATCCATCAATCAAACAATTCACCCATCAATCAATCAACCAATCAATCCATTAATCAATCAATCAGCCAATTAATTGACCAATCAATCAATTAATGAATCCATTGATCAATCTATCCAGTCGATCAACTAAAATTATATAATATCTTTCAAGAGTAAGATGTATTTATATGCTTATAAGCGTTTTTCTATCACGTTATCATTCTAATAATCTCCCCACATCATCATGGCCACATCAGTATCATCATTATTAACATCCTAATCACATTAGTATCTCAATGACTCTAACCCTAACCTGCCCTAATCTTCCGGGGTGTTTCAGTATGATGCCCCCACTCGACACGGCACTGACAATGCGACCATCTTCATCAACACAGATGGCTCCGACCGTATCATTCCTGACGTCTACTTGTCGCCTGTTGTCATCATTGCTGCTATTGTTGCAGCTGTCGTTGTAGTTGTTTTTGCTGGTGTCATCAGAATCTGTGTTGTTGATAGCGATGCTGTTAGGAATGTTGTCACTGTTGTTGTTGTTACAGTCGTTGGTTTGATGTTGATTTTTAATGTTTTTCAATTTACTCTTTTGTTGCGTCAGATTATTTTTAGAAAAAATATTGAACTTTGGAATGCGCCCCCTTACCCCATTGCCCCTGTTATCATAGGCTAAGTTTGATTTGGCATTAATCCCGAAGGTAATTTCACTACTAATTTCAACGTTGCTCGCAATTTCATCAACAAATACATCACTGGTCTGGGCATTTTTCAGTGTTCTATTGGTAGCCCTAACGGTTTTGTTGCGGTCACTGTTGTTGTTGCTGTTATCATAGAGTTTTGATGTCTTAAAACCAACTCCAGAAACACGGGCCTTCATGAGTTCCTCATTTACCAGGTCTAACTTTCTTTTGTTCTTTATAAAAGTTTTTCGAGAATTTTCTATAAAAAAAAAACTTTTCTCAAAAATTTATACAAACAACAATAATAATTAATAATTCAAATTAGTGAACTAGTAACTAAATCTAGTAACTGTAATTGGTTAGTATCAAGTAACAGTTAGCAATGAATTGACAACCTGTAATCAGTTCATTTTTGTCAATGATGACTGATAGTCCATGTTCTTTGGCCCATTCGTAAGCTCCTTGTCCAACTAGTGTACTAAATCAGTTTAGTATTAGTAGTTAATCAATTGAAATTAATCAAATGATCAATCGGGAAACGTCCTACCTCGGGAAACCGGGTCTCTGGACGCAAAACAAAGATTGATTGATTGATTTAAAATGATCATTGTGGTTAGTAATTAGTTTGAAAATTGTAAAAATTAATTTCAATATTTTACAAAAATTTACTGAGAAAGTACCAAAAAATATACAAAAATTACAAGGAAGCATGTCGGTTACAAAAATTTTTTACACGGAACCCTAACTAACCATGGGGCTATCCTCCCCAGCGGCATCTCCCCCAGAAATTGCAGGTTCATCAAACTTTCTGCCACTTTTATAGGGTTTTTCACACCTCGTAATAGTGAAAATTAAATAAAAAGATTAATAATTAAATTATGCCTAATAATATAATTACATTTCTCATATATACAATATATATTTATGCGCATATGTTTGTCTGTGTATATAATTAACAATTAATTATACATCATAATAAACTCAATAATTACTAATAATTATGTCATAATTAAATTAGTATAAATAATTACACCATAATTAATTGACTATAATTAACAAAAAAGTATGTACCAGAAACAGCTCCAACAGCTCCATAATGGAGTGACTTGCCATCCATAATGCTAGCATCACACTCTACTGTACCTGCCATAGTTAAATTGGACCCGATGCCTGCATTTGTACACTGGGAATCCTGTGCAAATAATTTGCATATATGTATGCATGTTTGTGTGCGTGTTAAAATATTTCTGTGTGTGAGTGTATGTGTATATGAACTTACGCATGTGTGCAAATGTGATTGTATGAATGAATGTATGTTGATATTTTAACTTTTAATTTATATGCTCATTAGTAAATAAGAAAATTTTCAAAAAATCTATCCGTATATATATATATATGCTTTTAACAAACAAAAATTCTTCAAGTTATAAAATTAGTTATACGCAATTAATTTTTACACATTTGACCAAAATAATATAATTTTTTTTATTGCGTTCATTTATTTAAAAAATTTTATTATGATTCAATAACAAACCTCCAACGAAACAATGGCAGCAACAACAGCTTCCAGTGCACTATGTCCTTTATTTAGCAACTGAACGGCCTATAATTTTGAATAAAATTTTTTAAAAGGTTTAGTTTAGTACACATAAAAAGAAATAAATGTAAGTAAATGGACTACAATACACATTCATATTCAATTATAAATTACTCATAAATATTACAAATAATAATAAGTAGATGACAAACATTTTATTTAATTTATGAAATTAAAAACCATTGGTTGATTGAAAGAAAAGAGAGCCAATCAAAGTAAGATTTTTCAGGCTTATTGTAAAAGTTTAACGACTTAAAAGTTTGCATCTATTAATTAATTAAAAACCATTGGTTGATTGAAAAATTAAGATACACATGTTGAACATTATTAAGTTAAAAGTGTTAAGAGAACGACCTGATGACAAGCTTTTTCGCAAACTCCCTTGTAAAGGTCGGCATTGGCAGGGGAATGATAGCCGGCGCCTTAAATACAAAAAATTATAAAAAATAATGAATACAAAATAATTTAGGATAAAAGTTTAAAAATAAAATGAACGTCTGGTCAATTACCTACGTGAACAGCAACAAATCCTTTTCTGATCATAAGGAAATTTTTGGAAATTTTTAAAATTTTAAACGCCGAGCGATAATGAATCCAAATTAGTACTGCATGTGTATATATATATATATATATATATATATATATATATATATATATATATATATATATATATATATATATATATGGATTAAACAACACAGAACTTCTAAAATAGAAATGGAGTATGTATTAGGATGACGGTATCGAATCGTACGTTCGTTCATATTAGTGAACACAAAAAACATCAATCACATTATAATTTAGTGTAATTTTAGTTTTAAACTAATCTTTGTGTAATCAGAAAAGTTGAAACATGTTAAACAACTGGTTTTTTTTAATAAATATACATTCAATGTATGGTCAACGTGTTGTGTACAATTATTCCAAGTAAAATATAATAATGATTTCAAATCGTTTAAATCTAACACTGGATAAAGATCGTATGTTATATAATAATTAAAATACATATAAATGATACACAGTTAGATGGATACATGGTACGGACTACAGAACATCAATAACTGAATACATATTGGAGCATCACCATTTTAATTGTGTTCGCTTTAGCATAAGACAAACCGTACATTTAATTTTTTGTTCATTATTTACAAATTGTTACACATGTTAACCGTTATTGTTGGTTCTTGTTTAGATCGTTAGAGGAGCTAGTTTTTGATTGATGATTTTATGTGCAAGATAGTAATAATGAGAAAAAATTATGAGTGTCTATGATTCTGAGAATAATAATTACATTATTAGCTGTATTGATATTATCCATTATAGTTGTTATCAGATATGTGATTAAAATGAGTATATATTATTTTATCTTTTTTAAAGGTTAAAGGTCAATCTCTCTTGTGCATCTGCTTCAGAGGTTTTAACGACAAACATGCACAACGTATATGAACACGCATGAAAACCATACATCACACACACGTTGCATATGATAGGCGGGGATCTCTTTGTATTCAAACCATTCAAACCAAGTCATTGCAATAGCACGACCAGGCGTCTCTAACCCTTACGCTAATATATTTTTAAATTTTATATTAATATGAATATAATAATAGTAATATAAATACTATTACATTTATTATAAATAATACTACATTACATGTTTCTACAGCTACTATTCCGCCACTTTTATTTCTTCCTGCTTTCTGTTATTAAACTACTAGGTAAAATAATATATATATATATATATATATATATATTTCGGAACGAGGTTTTCTTTAATACAAACATCATTGAAGATATATGCCCATTTTGCATTAATGACTTTCTTTAATGAACACTCAACAAGTCTGAATTTATTAAACTCGTATTTATTTAAAACAATAGACATGGTAAGGCTAACAGCGCTTTTTCGGGAAGTCCATCTTCAGAGCCTATGAAAATAAGAATAGCATGAAATATTTTTATAAAATTAGAATGCATATTAAATGTGTAATAAAATTATTAAGAAAATAACGAGAAACCTTTGTTAGTGAAAACAATGCAAAACATGTACAAATTAAATTTATGGTTAAAAATATAAATGTATATAAGAAGTTAGTAAAATAGTATTAAATTAAATATTAAAACAAATAAATTAATACTGAAATTTAGTTCAGTGAAAATTTGTTAAAATCGGATGATGTAAATAAAACGTAAATAAGTTAGTTGAATGTGAAAAGAAGACATGTGTGGAAAGAATATGGAAAATTGTCAAAATTAACTATTAAGTTTATAATGATATATAAGAAATTTTAATAAACGAATCCGTAAATGAAACAACCAAATTACAGGCTCTGAAGATGGACTTCCCGAAACAGCGCTGTTAGCCTTACCATGTCTATTGTTTTAAATAAATACGAGTTTAATAAATTCAGACTTGTTGAGTGTTCATTAAAGAAAGTCATTAATGCAAAATGGGCATATATCTTCAATGATGTTTGTATATATATATATATATATATATATATATATATATATATATATATATATATATATATATATATATATATATATATATATATATATATATATATATATATATATATATATATTAT